AGAGTTAAGGGTTCTACACTTGGAGTGCGATATATCACGGCGATACGATATTCTTGTCGGCGGCGATATGACGATATAGTTCCATTACTATCGATTGTATTATAGCAGTTACACAGAGCGAGATAATCTGCAACGATACCGACAAACGGTATCGCATCGTCGGCACATATCTCGTTCTGTACGTATAAGCTTTTTTTCGTTTAACCGCTTTAACTTTTCAAACATAGTGCATACAAGAGAAAAAGTAGAAAAATAAAACAGAATAAAAAGTTGTTTAATTTAGCTTCAATTCAAAATTATAGGTATTTTTAGGTGTTACTATATAATAGAAATTTATTATAACTGCCTAGTATTTTATTTTATACATAGCAAAGATTATACATAGCAAAGATTATTATAGGAGTTACACAGAGCGAGATAATCTGCAACGATACCGACAAACGGTATCGCATCGTCGGCACATATCTCGTTCTGTATGTATAAACCTTTTTTCGTTTAACCGCTTTAACTTTTCAAACATAGTGCATACAAGAGAAACAGTAGAAAAATAAAACAGAATAAAAAGTTGTTTAATTTAGCTTCAATTTAAAATTGTAGGTATTTTTAGGTGTTACTATATAATAGAAATTTATTATAACTGCCTAGTATTTTATTTTATACATAGCAAAGATTATTATAGCAGTTACACAGAGTGAGATAATCTGCAACGATACCGACAAACGGTATCGCATCGTCGGCACATATCTCGTTCTGTATGTATAAGCCTTTTTTCGTTTAATACTATACTATAGTATAGGCAGTATACTAACTGCCTAGTATTTTATTTTATACATAGTTATCAACCGATAGGAACAATTGATTTCCAACCAAGTTAATCTTTGCTATAATGAAAACAAACATTACGGCCTATCGAAATAGAACTTTTGCTGGTACGAAAGAATTTATACATTCTAGAACAAAGACAGTGACAAATGCTTTGTGAAAAAACTATTGAATCTATGATCGTTTGATATACGGCCGCTATGTTTGATGGGTAGAGACAATAACTTAGAATTTTGAAAGTCATTTTGACAGATAGACTACAGTCGTAAATCAAACAGTATAAAGATATTAGTCTAATATTGACTTTCTACAGAATGATGAAACTCTACTCATGATAATGATGGATTTGAGTTTTATAGTTACAACACCGCATTATTTTTTAATAAATGTTGATAAAAATTGATCTGTTATTGTATGAAATAGAGAAAACCAACCAAATCGAACCAATCACACTTTGGTAAGGAATGCATAACAGTATTACTATATTAAAAAAATCTTAAATAACATAAGTAAGTTTGTGAACAAAAACGCTTAAATCAACTTAAAAGCTAAAAAAAAAAAATCTAAAAACCACAGTTTGATAAAAGCTTCTTCATACCAGTATTAAAAATAAAACGTTCTATTCCAACCACACCACTCTCAGAAATATAATTAAAAATTATATACCAATAATATATCTAAAACTAATTGTATAGAAATAAGAAACCGGAAAGTTGATTTATTAACATTTAAATTGATTGTGCATTTTAGGAATATTCTTTTCAATGCGAATGTGCGTATCGAGCAACAATGCCATTAAAGTAATGGTCTCTTGAAGACTGTGTTTATATATTCTTAAATATTTAACTAACAGTAAATATTTTATCACCAAGCTAAGTCTAGTAATTGAATAATGGAATAAATAAAGTGATCTAATATTAGTTTCTTTTCGGTTTTATTTTTTATTTCATAATCCTTCACGATTATTTCATGATCATTTTAATGGATATAAACGTTTAGTAATTTTGACCTTATTTATCAACGCCAAAACACAAAAAGTTCATCAAAATGATCCGAACCCAATCATATATATCTCTGTTAGAGCAAAAGGTCGAATATAACATTTTCATATGTTTATTCTTTAAGGTGACTTTTTCTAGTCTGAAACTTCTATAAGTATTCTACTAAACAGGAACATAGCAGAGCGAAATAAAATATGAAATTAAACTAATAAATCATAATGAAATGATAGGTTTTTCTGTAAAAAAAAAAATCAATTTTTACATATGACATAACAGTAGCAAAATAAAAATTTGTAACTCTAATTGCATAATTGTCTGATTTCACAGAGGAGAAATTCATCAAAATACTGAGCTATTTAATTTTATATAATGTTAATTAAAGACTTTTTTTTCCAATAATGTCAAATCAAATGTCAGACAAATTAAATATACATATGTTGACTACAATTCTCATAGTTAATAAATTTTGATGTCACTATTTAATGATTATTATTTCCAGGAAGGTTAAACATATTTTAAAAAAAATATTTTAATTATAAAAACCGAGAAAATTAACGAGACTTTTCAGATTTATTTACTTTATTATTCCCTAAAAACTTTTTCAATTTATCTTTCAACTGCTACAAACTTGTTATATGATAATATGTTAATTTTGAAAGCAGTGGAAAAACTATTTTTAAAAACCTTCTAATATAATTTGTTATTTTCACTATTACTAATATGCATCTAGTTTGAAAATTAAAAATTTATTCATCCAGTTTATAAATTCTTCTATCTCTGTACTAAAACATTTTTAAAACGTAGTTTTCTATAAATATATAATTCTAATAGTAGAACATAAAGAATTGGTTGACGGAAATGCGCCGCCGGGAAAGATGTGGAAAGCGTTACGGTATTACTGGTCTAGTATCTTTCAGGTCCATCGTACCAAGCTACGAGTGAGCGTTGGAGACGTTTCCTTACAATAATGGTTTTCTTTTCTCACTGTACTTAAAAGTTCTATATCTTTGAGCAGAGTCCATTCTAATCTTCTACGTATTCATTTTAGTATATGTACTACCGAAGTGAGGCATCAGGGGTTAAGAGAAAAAAATGTCGCTATAAATTTTAAAAAAATTATCAGATTTAAAATTATTCAGTATCTTTAAAACATATATAAACGATCCTCTAAAACATCGTTAGCATTTTCGTTTCATTTTCTGTCATCAGCATTTTAATTTAGCGGTTCAGATGGAGGGAGGAAGATTGTCGAAGTAACTAGAATCATATCTTTTGTTATGGGTAATAAATATTCAGGACGCAGTCTTTTTAAAAAAAAAATTATTTTTGCCAACGTTTCAACCCAAAAATGATGTGGGTCATCTTCAGGGCGTGGAGGGTCATCTTCAGCACTGAGGTTGTTCATGTACTGAGTACATGAACAACCTCAGTGCTCAAACCACGTCCTGAAGATGACCCACATGTTTGGGTTGAAACGTTGGCAAAAATAATTTTTTTTTAAAAAAAGACTGCGTCCTGAATATTTATCACCCATGATTTGTAGAACAGTCGACTAACTTCCTTCAAGAATTCATCATATCTTTTGTTATTTTTTATTTACCCTATGCATGTGGTTTTCAAAGAATCTTGTTCACTTTTATTTATTTGCATATATATTTACAGTAGTGAGTTACAAATACTTGTAAAATATTTAAAATTCAGTAAGGTAATTTTTTATATTTTTTTTTTATTATATTTTATTGAACAATAATACAATCAGCCACTGTTGGAGGGCTATAAGTATTAAGGCTAGAAGTTCTCATTCATACAGTATATACAAGTAATAAATAAGTAACTATAAATATAAAAAGTAAATAAATAATACTTATAAAAAAATGTAAATCAATAGGAAAAATAAAATAAAATAAATAAATAAATAAATAAACAAACAAAATAAAATAACAACTTCTAAACACATTCATACCTATATACAATATATACATTCGCCCAGGAATCTCCAAGCCAGGCTTTTCTCCCCACATGTGGAAGGCAAAGCAGGACTCCAGAGATCCCAGTGCCACTTTTCCAGCCGCATCACTACTATTAAAAGCCAGTGGAGGCTGAAGGAGGGCACTAGAGCCACACATGCTCAGGACTTGATTGGAGAAGCTGGCCATTGCCAGGACTCCAGAAGCATATTTACAATAGATCTCGCGGCCACTGCCATTTTTAACCTTTGTAGGGATGGTGAGAGCTGGATAGGGATTGAGCTAGAGGATTTGGATGATGGATAAGGTTCTGGTGAAAGTTTGAGAATCTGGATGGGATGATGTCGAGGACAAATGGGATGTTAAGGTCATGGTGTAGGGTCTTATTTGTGACATAATATGGGGCATTGACTATTGTTCTAAGTACTTTGGACTGGAAGGATTGGATGTTTTTGATATTCGAATGTTTAGCAGTTCAAGTCCGTAGGTCCAGATAGGTTTCAGTATTGTCTTGTAGATTAAAAGTTTATTTTCAATTGAAAGATGAGATGTCCTGCTTACTAGTCTATATAGCTGGCCATAAAATTCAGTAAGGTAATTTTAGAAAAATCAATAAAATATTTTATCTCATTATCAGAAAAAATCTTGATATATTTTTTTGATAAATCACACTATACATACAGGATGGATTTTTTTAATGAAGTTTTTTGAAGGCATGTGAAAAAATTAAATTTTCTTTCTGCGGTAATTGTTTTGATTACTCATTTTTTCTGCTTACATATTCAATGTTTCGGAGCTCTACCCCATCTTCAGGAATATTCTTTTTTTTTACTTTTCCTAAATATTGTCTTTCATATATGTCATCCATGATTATTTATGTTGTAATTTTTCTTATAACTTTTTACTTCTGTTCTATTCAGGAACATTCTAATCTTCCATTGTTATTCTAATCTTTGGAATCTTGAGATAGTCTCAAAATAAAACAATTAAGAATGATCTCTGCTTAAAGATATGCTTACCTATTATAAGTAAATGTGAGCAGGTATAGCCCATTTATGGCATATGTAGTCTGTCTATTGTTTAGCGTGTCCTTGATTTTATTCAATCATATTCTTAGGTATTTTTTATTTTATTTTTTTCATTCATGTATATAACTTGAAATTATGAAACTTGTTATGTATTTTCTTTATATTTTTCTTTCTTTTTTCAGAGAGATGGTCTGTAGCAGAAAAAACTGTAATACTCTAGGACTCGCTGAAGTTGGAAGAATGTGCCAAGATGACTCAATGCACAGTTGTGCTATTGTAAGAGATGCAGGTCTCAGTACTGTGTTCACTATTGCTCATGAATTGGGGCATGTGTAAGTAGGTTTTTATATTTATTCAATTCAATTATTTATAATTTTATATATTTATATTTATATATATATATATATATATATATATATATATATATATATATATATATATATATATACTATTTGTTATTACATATTATGCTGGATTAATTGTTAATATCATCATCATAATAAAACAATAATGCTATTTTAATAAAGTATTAACAAAAGCCATTAGGCTTTCTCTCTTAATAACTGGTTATTTTCATGTAATATCTCCTTTACAGGCTAAACATACCACATGATGATTCTAGATCATGTGATGATTTCCGGGACCCACAGGATAAGCCACATCTAATGGCTCGTACTCTTGATAGAGAAACAAGACCCTGGTCGTGGTCTAATTGCAGTAGAACATTACTTACAGAATTCTTAGAGTAAGTTTCTTTTATTTAATTCTCCAATTTTTGCAATGATTTATTTGTATTAGGGAGTATACCGATGAAGGCAGATATTTTAATTTTTTAAAATAAATTTTGTTTTCTTCTAGAGCAGGGCATGGTTCTTGTCTTCTTGATCGACCAGTTACTGACCTTGGAGATAGAAAACACAAAAAGCAACTTTTAGGTGAAAAATTTGATAAAGATAAACAATGTGAGCTTGTCTATGGAAAAGGATCCAAAATTTGTTCTCACATGGTATGTTTTGTTAAGGTGACAGGTCTTTTAATTATTTAACACAAAATTTTGTTCTTAATTATTGAATGATGAAATTAACATTAACAACCCCTTTACCACTTAGCTAAGATCCCATTGCATTCAAATAAATTAATTTTGGAAATACCACTGATTTAATTAAAAATAAGATGGTTGGGAGTGCTTTTCAAGAAAGTTATCTAAACTCCACTTAGAAGTCTAGATCAGTTATTCTTTACATACAATAAAAGAGGGGAACTTTAAACCTTGGAGGTGTAACATTACTCCAAACAAAAATAATTCATTTTATAACCTAAGCAAAACCTTATGGAATGACTGACTTGCGAATAGCTTTTATATAAAACTAGAAGTAAATTTATCCTCCAAGGTATACAGTTGCGCCCTTTTACAGTACATGATACATGAAATATTACATTTTTATATTTTGAATTCTGAGAAGTAAAGTACAAAATACATTGTTTTTAATCTATCTTTTTAAATTGTGTTGAAAATATTATTAGAGGCATGAACTCTCCATATCATAAATGACATGAATTTTGAAGCAGATTTTTTAAAATATTTTATTCCCTTGTCCATTGAGCAGGAACTCTAACTCTAACTGATGTTTTTTTATTGTGAACTAGCTTTGATCTGCATTATAAATTCAGCTCCTATTTATCATAAAGTTTGTTTGCAACTAAACATTCATGTGTCTTTTTCTTAGCTTCATATTCTTGCATTGTTATCTTTAGGCTTGAATCAACCAAACTAACTTTCATTCCTTAATATTTGTTTTAAGGAATTTATAAACTATGCATGGCAATATCGGTACCTTTTATTATTATAATACTATATGTTTGTATTTGAAAATTTTCTCTTCTTAACTACCATCTGTCACAATTGTTAAGTCTTCTTCTTTTTTTTTATCTTTAATTATCTGAATGAACTTAATAAATTGGCTTGTCAACTCTTATGAAGGATGAATCTTCACTTGTACTTTGCTTAATATTCAGATGTTCCATTGCCTATAAGCTCATTTTATAACTACAATTTTTCTAATAATTGAATATAACTCTTTTCCTTTCCAAAAATGTGTTGTTTAATATTTTCATGTGATGTATCTAAGTAATCATTTAAATTTGAGAAATTTATTCATTATTAATGATCATTGTAGTCATTGATATTTGTCATTAACTTTAGTGATTTAAGTTTTCTGATTCATATGGCTGATTTCCACAAAAAAAGGATTAATCCATTTGGTTCAGGCTACGTGTGAAGAACTTTGGTGCCGTAATAGTCAATCAGATGGTGAAACAGAAAATTGTTCTACGTTACACATGCCATGGGCTGATGGAACACCTTGCGGACATGGAAAATGGTGCCAGAAAAGACATTGTGTTTGGAAAGACAGGAAATCACTGCAGCCTGTCAATGGTGGTTGGGGCAAGTGGCAAAAGTAAGTTAATAATTTTATTTAGTTGAAAAGAGATTAGGCAAATCGGTACATTTTGGTTTTTAATACTCTTAAATACTCCAGTAAGGATATATGTTTAATCTAATTTGAATTTAGAACAAAATTTTTGTCTTTTATATCCATTTTAAACGTTTATCAGACAATATTTTTCTAAAAAAAATTTAAATATGTGGATAAGATGTTTTCTTAAGATTTTAGTTTTCTCTTTATGATGTATCAAACAGTTTAAACTTTGAATACAATTACAAAATTAATAATAACATTTTGTTAACATGTTTTTTGTTTTTAATGTTATATTTATTAATTACCACAGGGGTCCTTGTCTATGTTTTAAAGACATTAAGGGTGATCAGCGTTATGGAAGGTATCAGGAAATATCATCTTAAGAAATTTGCATTGGAATGTTCTTGGAATGTTATTTTTCAAGCCACTCAGTGATAAAGCACATTACTTCTAGGCATTTAATTTTATGTTAAATTTAATATTAGATGAAAGCATTGTTTACTTTTTCATTTAAGACAATTATTGCATTATTTTTATGTAGACAAATATTTTTTTTATGTTGAAACTGTCATTTTTAAAATTTCTTTATGTAAATTCTGGGCTACTGATGAAAAAAGTGGCTTCCATTTCTACAAACTACAGAGGACACTGTTTCGACAATCGTATGGATAAGGATTATTTAGTACGTAATTTGATTTGGAATGAATTGATTTGACCAGGAATTCATAAAATAAATCCATGTGTAGCTCTCTAGTATGAAGATTGTGAAAAATTATATTTTTGAAGCGATAAAAACACATCTTCACCAGTTTTATTTTGCCAAAAAAATATTTTGACATAGATTTATTTTTGTTTATTTAGTATTTGAACTTAAAGAGGAAGATTCTGCAGAGGATATTTGACTCTATGTTTTTGAAAGATGACGAGGTCTGGAGTAGAAGAAAAAAGGGCTTCGTGAATTTGTTTACTGTTGTCAAAGACATTCTGAAAAATGTTTAAGTTGAAATTATTTCATTTATTTATGAAGTTTACTTTTTGTCTGAAGGATTGACCTTATACTTCAGCATTGATAATGCTGAGAATATTTGACTGATATTTCCTCTTATATTCATTTAATGTTTTATTAAATCGTGTAGTTCTTAAAAGTTCAGAATTATTTGTGGAATGATTCTAAAGTTTTCTCGTTGGCTGTAACATTTGTGATTGTTGCATTTTGTCATATTCAAGGCATAAACAGCGCTGTTTCATGAGTGCTGAAGTCAATAAAATTAATTTTGATGGAAGAATTCATAATGTCCAACACTTATTTTCTTCTTGGAATTTCTTGGTCTATTTTTTGCCTTTTTAATGTGATATATATATATTCAATTACTTGTGGTTTTATTTTTTATAGTTTTGTACTTTTCCCTCCACTTTTTCTAAATAAGGAATTAAGAATTCATTCATAACTATAATTACAACATTTATATATGTGACATCATCTATTGTTCTAGGTTCATGTTTCTGTCCCAAATACTTAATGTAATGAAATTAATGAATTCATTTCAGCTGTAATGAAATTGAAACCACATAAATATGTTGTTATTAAAGTGATAAATAGAAACAATAGTTTATAGGTCATTCAAATTAAATGTTTGGAGGATATTCAAAAAAATTATTATCAAGTGATGTATCTGAGTATCTGAGTAAAGGTTTGTTTTAATTATAAAACACTATAAACCTGAGTGCTTAATCACTTACATCATACATTTTAAAATCTTTCATTCCATAAAATTTCATGATTTGTTTTAATGCTTGATTTCAATTTTGGATTGTTTTGTTGACATTGGCATGTTAACTTATTGAGCTAATACTCATAATAAATTTTTGGAATGAAATGTAAAATTTCTGCATGACCTGTTGCAATTTTAATTTTAAAAGTAAAATTTTTATTTCCATAGTTTCTCATTTTGAAGGATAGCTTAAAATATTATATCATAACAATGAAGTATACTTATGAAACAAAAAAAAAGTTTCTGGTTTAATAATATAAATATTTTTGTAATGAAAAACAATTGTTATTGATACTTATCAATTTAGAATATTTATAAACTACTATTTAAAATTATAATAAATTTTTAACAATAATTATATATTTTATGTAGGTATGGAGAATGTTCTCGCACATGTGGTGGTGGAGTTCGTAAAAGTATTAGAGAGTGTAATAACCCAACTCCTGCTAATGGTGGAAAATACTGTTTGGGTGAAAGAGTACGTTATCATTCTTGTGCTACCCAAGAGTGTCCACCTGGTTCTACTGACTTTAGGTAAAGTATTATTTATATATGTGTGTGTGTGTGTGTGTGTGTGTGTGTGTAGTATTATTATATATGTGTGTATATGTATATATATAATTTATATATATATACATTATAATGTATTATAAATTTATATTATAATTTTTTTTTTAAGTCAAATTTTCTATTTCACTTGGACTGAGAAGAAAAAGTAATGAAAATTGTCTGTCTGCATATACTCCAATAGTCATCAAGTTATTTAAGATATACAGTTTTAGTTGAAAAGATATAATTTTATTCAAAGTCACTGTATGTTACTTAAAAAATGGCCACAGATCATTTCCTTGGCTAACAGGGTGAATCATAAAAAAATGGTCCATTTCATTTTTTTGGAAATTGTAATTCACTGATTGGCTTTATTTGCTCTTCAAATACAATTGAGATTGGCATCCCTTCAATCAATAGACTATACTACTAAATGATTTTGTGAACAAAATGATTTTGTCATGCCTTCAGTTTTTACTAAAATTTGAAATATTTGTAATATTACATCAATATTGAAAAACCAAGTTTTCTAATGCCCTAACAATGCAAAATCGTTGTTCTAGAATAAAATATTAAGTTAAAGTACAAGCAAATTATTGCTAATATTTACAAAATAAATATTTTTTGTCATCCTATAATAATATAATAATAACATAATGTTTTAGAGAGCTGCAATGTACTGAACACAATGGAGCAGATTACAGCATTGGAGGTCAAAAGCTGAGTACTATTTGGGTTCCTAAATATGACGGAAGTAAGAAATTACTCAAATTAATCATTGTTTATTATTTTAGATTCATTTTTATTGTTGAATTAATTTTGTTTAAAACCTACAAATGTAAGTGATGTTATGTATCTAGAACTACTCATTTGGATTGAGTATATATATTATACTGAACCAAAAATAATCAGTATTTATCTTTTATATATTTATTTAATAATTTTATACTGAAAACACATTTTCAGCATTTCTCAATGTCTACTACTTGCTTCTAGATATTTTTGTCACTGATTTGGATGCTTAGACATTTCTTTATCTTAAAAAGTTTGAGGATGCGTTTTCAGCCGATTATTTTCAAATATTTATCCTCCAAATGAATCATTCAATGGTGTAAACCAAAAAATAGTCATAGGAGGAAAATTCTGGAATATAGGGAATTCAATCAAGGGTTTTATCTCATTTGTTCCAAATTAAGCCTTGTCAAGATACAGTGCGAGGTGAAGGATTGTGGCATTTTGGTGGAGAAGAATGACATCTCTAATGGATATCCTTTAGAGGTATTCGCTTTGTCTTTTTTTTTTTTAGAAAAGAGTTGCAGACTATTGTAAATAGTAATAATAATCCATATTGTGAAGAAAATCTTGAGTAAAAAAAAAAATCATTGAATAAATTTTCTCCTCAATGTGTACCCTTCATACTTTCATTGTCGCTCCTTACTTGCCATTGACAACTTGACAATTCAGGGGTATAATGTTGGGCTCACATCCCGTCACATGTGACAATGTACCTTAAAAAAATCCTCCCCTTCTTGCTGAAGAGAACAAATCAAATGTTTGAAGAAATTGAGGATCACTTACACAATCGGGTGACTCTCTCTCAAATTTTTTATGAACAAAGAATATCAAAGCTGCTAAATTGATAGGGAAATAGTTCATATTATACAGGAAACTACATTTAGAAATGCTTAAGTATGCTTTCTGTATAATGTTAATCAATGAATATATTTTTAAAAATATCCTTTGTATTTAATTAAACTTCATATTGGTTGTCATGTCAGTTGATGCAAATGGATTAACTAAACAGAATAAATATAAATATTTTGAACGCATAGCAATTTATTAAAATAACGGCAAATATTCGATATCTGCTAAAAGCAGTCTACTGGTGTCTTGTCCTTCCAAGATAATTAGATTAGTCATTCTGATAAAATATAGATTATAGATTATGTTTGATCATTTCCCCTAGTCATCAATTGAAAATTATTTTATTACTCTGTTATGCTATAGAAAGCAGGTTTTGATGATAAATGTAGCAGCATTTGTTTTCCAATCACAAGCTATATCAATAAATTATTTTATGTAGTTATGTCACTATGTATTTTTTTTCTTTTAAATTTAGTGTAATGTTACAATTACTTTTTATGTGGTGATAACCAGTGCCCATCAATATTTATTTTGAAATTTGATCATGTCACTATTTAAATATGACTTGGGTATTTTTTATAAATATACTAATATAAATACAAAGTTATTTTTTTTTATTTTTTTTTTTTTAGTAAGTCTGGACGAAAGATGTAAATTATATTGCCGAGATTCTCAAAATATTAATTACTACAGTTTAATGGATAAAGTTATAGATGGAACTGTCTGTGGTCCTAACACATTTGATATTTGTGTAAATGGTTTTTGCCAGCCGGCAGGTTGTGATCATATTCTTAATTCTAAGAAGCAATTAGGTAATTTTATCAATAAATTATATTATTGTATAGAAATAATATTTTAGAGCTTCTCTATGTTCCATTAATTTTCCTAGATTATTGCGGTCAATGTGGAGGAGATAATTCAACATGCAAGCTTATCACTGGATCTTTCAACAGTTCACAGAATGGCTATACTAGTATAGACACTATTCCTGCTGGAGCTTCTAACCTGGATGTAAGACAACGTGGTTATCTCAATTCAAATAAGGATAACAACTATTTAGGTTTGTTAAATTTTAATTTTTGGACTCATGGGAATTGTAATGATTTTGGTTACATATAAAAACAGTTTAATCAGCCGTAAATTTTACTTCATTTTACTGCGTGTTTTAAAATAGTATAATGATAAAAAAGACTTAGTGTGCTTAATCTAACTAAGTGTAGAACAAAATTTATTTACTCCCGCTTTTAAGGGATGTTGTCTAAATTCATTTTTTTTTTTTTATTGATAGCGAAGTCTGTATAATATTGCTTCCTTAAATCAAGTTGAGAAATTAGAAATTGAATTTCTTTTAGTAATTTATTGATAAGTAAAGCCAGTTCTATAAATGTTTTACAATCTTAGATATATTTATTGTCTTAATTATTAAGGAGAATATGAGCTAATATTTAGGTGTAACTTTTTGTAATTATTTTTAGCATTGTATGATAATGAAACAAGCCAGTATATTTTAAATGGGCATTACCAAGTTAAGGTTTCAAGAAAAGTAATATTGTATGGAGGTACTACTTTAGAATACTCAGGTTCTGATGCTATTGTTGAACAAATCAGATCTTCCCGACCACTGAATAAAGATTTAAATCTTCAGGTAAAATAGGAATTTTTTATGTATATATACTTTTTATTTTGCCATGGATACATATTTTATAAAATATGCTGTGTATGTTTGTAACTCCCTTTAGAACATAAATAGACTGAGAACTGTATGATTGAGATATATGTCCTGGTAGTTTTGTTTACTCACTACCAAAGGTAATGAAGCTTTGATATTCCTGAGGGAGGTAGAAAAAAATGTTGTGCTCAGAATCGAAAATTCTAAATTCACTCGCGTTTTACAATTCAGACATCAAAGATCAAATTTGGTTCAGTGTCTTGTCTGTAGTCAAATCGATGTGATAGGCATACTACCTTTTATTCAATTTTCAGGGAATGTGCGGGTTGGTATTTAGATGATTCCATATCAATTTCATTAAATTCCATATAATACTTCTGGTTGCGTACGCGCCAATGTATTTTCTTAAATATGCCAATATTTCAGAAGCGGCTCGTTTGATTAAGTTCAAAGTTAAAAGAAAGGTAGGTTTTGGTAAAATAATGAGGCTGTATTGATTTTATTAACTGTTTTTGGCAATGAGAACTTCCAAATATACAACAATTGATTTATTTGTTGAATTTACATGTTAACGTTTCGGAATATTTACTTCCATCTACAGAACTTACAATCCCATATTTTCTTATCGATTCATGGCTAAAGTCTGATGTGCTCCTTTGTCATGTTTTAAATTTATGTTATATATAAATTTAAAACATGACAAAGGAGCACATCAGACTTTAGCCATGAATTGATAAGAAAATATGGGATTGTAAGTTCCTAAGATGGGAGTATATTTCCCGAAACGTTAACATGTAAATTCAACAAATAAATCAATTGTTGTATATTTAGAAGTTATCATTGACAGATACAGAGAATATCATACAGCTTCCCACCAAAAATCAGACATTATTTTTTATGATTCTTCATTCTTGGATATTGATTTGTTAGAAATCTTTAACTGTCTGATGGTATAGAATTGATAAATATTACTACTCCAATTCTCAGAAATTAGTTTTATCTTCAAAAATATTTCTTTTTTTGCTTTTATTTAATCGTCAAATATTTTCATAATTATATATAAATATCGTACTTCATAGTTTATCCATGTTTTACTATTAATAATAATGAGAGATGTTTAATTATCTCAAATAAGAAAAATTACTATTTAATTGTATATTTATGTAATGTGTTTAGTCAAAACATAGACATATTTTTGAGTAATTTATGGAAATGTTTAAAATTGATGATACAAAGTGGCACTTAAGTTAAAGTAATTTTAGTAGTAAAGTTACTGTAGTATATTAGCCATATCTACATTAAATATATACTTTTTCTTATACTATATACTTTTCTTACAACTTGTCATTTTTGAACTAGCCTGTTCACATATACAGGCACAGACCATTTACTGAAACTTGGTTATTTGGTGTCAAAGAACCTTAAAACATGTTTTTCCATTGAAAACTCAAGTTGGAAAACATTCACAATGCTTTCTCTTATTATATATATTATATATAGGTAAGTGAAAGTGAAAAAGAAAATTATCATTTCATATACATCATAAGAAACATATGCATTCAATTTTCTAATTTAAGAAATTAATTTTTCCGTAGGTATGCTCGGTTGGAACTCTTTATCCACCCGATATAACTTATGAATATACTGTTCCAAAAAGTGCTTTAGATCAATATTCATGGGATTTATCAGATGAGTGGGGAACTTGTAACAAAGTATGCAATGGTATGATTTTTAAGTTATATTATTATTTATGCTTTCACCTCTGATAACTTCTCTAGATTTGCTGTTTAAAATAATCATAAACCTTAATGATATACAATTAAAGTTAAAATTTAAGTGTTAGTAAAGAATGATCTCATTTCTTCAATCTTTATCTTTATTTCTATTTCCGAACTCTTCCAGTGAATAAGTAAAATTATAATAACTGTGTATTGTGTAATTTATAGACATATATAATATTGTAATTTAAATATAGATATATATTTACTACAGGTAATTCATTTGATATGATTAAATGTAGAAAAAGAAAGTTTATTTAATATTTGAATAAAATGGAAACATCATTTCTTTATCTTAGGAGGCTGAGTGCTTATTTATTAGTTTGTGTTCTGTGAATGACCTGAGATCTATTAAACGATACGGCTATGATTTATTAATATTTGTATATAAATAAAATAATATACATGTTCAATCAGCTGTGATAGATCTTTTATTCTAAAGTGTGCTGGTTGAGGGTACAGTAGCAATCCTCTGGTTAATGATACCCTCAGATATTATGTAATGACATTCCCACTGTAAAGATAGGAGAGAGGAGAAGCTCTCTGGTTCACTGTGGGCTGACAAGTGACAGGCTGAATACTGGATGAGAAATGAAATATTGACTGGGCAAAGGGTGATTTATAATTGCTGTAAAATAAATCATATCATCAAGAAGAAACTTAGCCCAATAACAATCCAGTTTGAAAAACTCTTCTATACTTCAACCAAATAAAATGCTAATAATATCAGTTTCGGCATTTTCTATTACAAACAGAAATATTTAGGTATCTTTTTATATTGTGGAAGGAATATAAAAGGAATTTATGACTGTATTGTCAGGTCCTGATTACTGTCTTGCCCATGTATAAAATAGATCAAGGCCAAACTATTTAATATGATCAATTAACATCGATTGAGAACAAAGCAATTTTCTACTTACTAAATAAAAATCCTTCTATGAAGACTAGAGTTAGTTTAATTGAAGAGGATGAGAGAGAAGGGTAGTATGCAAGGAGAATGTAGTATAGTAAGGCTGGCTGATGAAGTGTAGTGAGTGATTTTGTGTTAGATTTCAATCTGCACCACCTGCTTTCTGAATTATGTAATTAAAGAATTAATACGATATCTGAAAAATTGATAATATTTAAGTTTGCATTATACTCCCTAATATTTTTTCTATAGAATTTCTTATATTAATCATGACTATCAGAAGAGTTCTAAATAAATTAGTGAATACAGATTAAACATGAAATAATTTAAAACATATTTGTTTTCTGAAAATAGGTGAAACTACCCAGATTTTTAAGTGTGTTCGAAATGAAGGTAGACAAGAATTTTCCCCAGAATTATGTGCTGATTTGCAAAAGGGTAGTGCTCCAAGAAGACCATGCAATACTCATTGTAATTTAATGTAAGTTGAATACAATTTTACATTTAGAGAATAATTAATTTTGATTTACCATCTAAAAAGATTAGTGTGTATATGTCATTGGGTAATTAAAACATTTAGTTTTGGTCTTTAACAGAAGAATTACTTGGATTTTTTTTTCCTCATATCATTTTCCGAAAAAATTTTATATAATTAAAAATTTAGTAACCTTAGGTGAAAAAGTTAAGTTATGGTTATTTGTCAATTTTTTCCACCTCTGGCTACAACAGCAAATATGGCACAGGTTTCTTTGTTTACTTACAAAACATATTTTTTTCTTTTATGCCACCACAAATAATCAACCTGTGGATAGTTGATTTTTTTTTTAATTTTAAAAATATTAATTATTATGCAGGTGGCAAGCTGTTTCAAGATCTGAATGCTCAAGTGACTGCGGGCCTGGTTTCAGAAATATAACCTTTGAATGTACGATTAAACAGGACAATTCTTTTTATCCAACTCAAAGTGTTTCCTGTATGCACATTCCTAAACCTGAAGTAATGGAAACATGTCATGGTCTCTGTGTTGAGCCCAAATGGATATTTTATGAATGGGGACATGTAAGTATTTATCTCAAGGTGTTATACATGTTATAAAAACCATAGGCAAACTAATATTTACTTAGTGTATTAATGATTAATGTTATTTAATTACTTAATTTTCTAAATGGTAGGAGCAATAAAAAATATTTTTAGTTACATGAAGATGTAACTATTAAACAATATTAATTTCTAATAAATATTTCATATTACTAAAAAGGCTACAACAGTTAAGATGATCTTCCCACTCAAGTCAGTTTACTACTCATATATTTGCCCATCGGTTAAGAGTTAATTAACTTTTTAGGAGTTTAATTTTTATTAAGTCCAACAGCCAAGGGACTGCCATAAATCTGGGTCAAAAATATAAAGAACGCATAGTATTGTTGAAAAAAAAATGCTATTTCTATCATCATTATATTGTCTGATTCATTTCATCTTTCTTTAATTTTGTACACAAGTTTCCAAGTAGAAGTTATTATTTGTAACCTCAGTTCCAGAAGCTGTTTTTAGAAAAAAATACATCCAACTAGCTAGATTCAAAAGTTAGCAGTCATTTGTTGAATTCCAAATGTGTAATAAATGTAACTCACTAACATGATAAAAAAGGGGGTGGGTGGGTGCCTTGTAAATGTTTGTCATGGGTGCCTACAACACACACAATGGTTCTGCCCTAAATTTTGTATATATGTTTTTTAACTGTTGTAATTTTATTAATTAAATTATATTAACACATATTCATCTGCATGATGAAAATTTGTCATTTTGCAGATAGCCACCTATAGCCAAATGACAGAAAATTGATCATTTTTATATCACAGAAAATAATTTATTTTTCAATCCGCATCTGTTAATTACATTTATCAGCAGATGTGCTGGCTAAATAGTGAGAGCAAAAAATAATTGATTCTTGTTCTTTTAATTCTGAATAAATTGAATTCTAATTTTTACCAAACAGAGATAAAGAAAATTTTGTGAATGTCGCTGCAAAAAATTACTGGACGAATATGTGTTAATAGAATACACATTCCGTAACCTCAATGTTTTATAGTCTACTGAAGTCTTTTATTGTTTGATGTCTGCTGAAGTCTTAGATTTCATTGTTCTCTCTCGTTTCTTTTCTATATTATCATTAATTTTTGAAGATTTAGATACATTGTTTTTTATTCAACGTCAGCGACCACATATTACACTAATAAAGAATAGTTGAAAGGATAATATTTTCGTAAATTCTTTCTTGAATTTAAAACTGAGAAATAGTAGTTAGATAACAGGAAAATATATAATATTACAGATCTTTTAATCTTGTATTCATTTCCTCCTTAAATTAAATTAAATAAGTATAATTTAATAAATTACATTAAAACCTTGGAATTCTAGTTGACTAAACCTTTTCAAAAATAAATTATGTTTACTAATTTATATAAATGTAGTTTTTGATATGACTCGAGGCTAAAACTTAGTAAATTTTATTTTAGGCAATTATGAGGCATTTATTTTAGGCATCTTATGAGGAATTTATTTTATACTTCATATTGCTGAGATTCTACTCCAATCTATGCTACTGATCTCAACTCAGAAACACTTCTATCGTTATTGTTAATAGCTTAATAAATTTTTGTATTTAATCCCTGAACACAATTATATCTTCTAAACTCCACAACATGATGTATTTATGTAAGCATTAATGAATTTATTTTGACCTATGATTATTTCAGAAAGTGAATTAGTCAGTATCATGCTAAACTGCTAGATACTAAATTTCCTCCCACCACTCAGTGTCAGATTCTTGATTTATAGAGGATGGGAAATAGTTTCATAAATGTAAATTTCTCTATATACAACTGTCCAGTTTCGCATTTGTAGGTCTCTTGTGTCCACAGACACTCCATCAAGCCAACTTGCTCTAGGTCTTCCTACTCTTCTTGTTCTGTCTAGTTCCTTCGACATTAGTAGTTTGGGAATACCCGGAATCATTTACAAGGCACCCACATAACTCCATTCGAGAAACATGGCCAGCCAAGTGTAACCTTCCAATCTGAGTAAACTTGATTTCCACCTCATTGTAGAATTCCTGAAGTTCTCGATTTTTCTTCCACACCACACATTACTCTCTCTCTACCTGGTTCAAACATTTTCCGGAGGATCCTCCATTCGAATATAAAAAGTTTTCCTTCATCTGTATTTTTTTATTATTAGTTACTACAGATTTTGTTTTATAGATTATCTGACTTTCAAAATTCATTCAGAATATTTCAAAATGATAAGGCCAGTTTTATCAGGTTTTGTTATGAAAAAATAGTTCAATTTATTTTATTGTGATATATAAATGTTGTTCATTTTTCAGTGCTCTAAAAGCTGCGGAGGTGGAATACGGAAGAGAGAAGCTGCCTGTATGGACTCACTTAAACATAAAAGAAATGACTCAGAATGTCAAATAAATGAAAAAAAAGTGGAAGAAACCTGCAATACTCAAGATTGTCCATCATGGCAAGTCGGAGAATGGACACCGGTATGAGTTGAATGTTAATTATAATTTTTGAGTGTTTAGTTTGATTTACTAATTACTGTCTCTTTACTCTAATATTAAAGCATCTGAATGAAGTATTCCTGACATAAATCTCATCGATCGATTGAAGGTATTATTATACTGCTACACTTTGAGATTTAACAACTATTTTCTAGCATGTCCTTAAGTTGCCTTGTGCTTGGTGTAGAAGAGATGTCTTAGCTGTAACAAATAGCTATAATTATTTTCAATTCTTTCATTCAAAATTTTATTTACAAACATTTTAATTAAGATTAGCCTTACAGCATACATCAAAAGAAATTTTGAAGATAATATAAATTGCAATTAGATTAAAATTTCATCATTTAAGCCATTGAAGGTTTCTGTAAAAAGTAATCCATAAATAACAAAAACCTACTGTAATCCTAAAATCCTGATTATGAAGGTTGAAAGTATGAATTTAAATGTCTACATGTTTAAAATTGTTAATTTTTTTTTTTTAATGCTGCTGGTCAGATTTTAATAAATAATAAATTCCATCTTGTTATAAATTATTTGTAGAAAATCTAACTAGGGGAATAGATTATCAATTTAGATTCTTAATCAATGAACTATTGATTAAATATCCTCCTTCCGAACTATATTACATTACCTTCTAGCTAGGAATACATCAATTTCAAAAAGGCTTATATATATATATATATATATATATATATATATATATATATATATATATATATATATATATATATATATATATATATATATACAAACCCTTATGATATAATTTACCAATTTGTGTATTATAAGATGTTCATGACTCTACATAACTTTTAAATTATGTCATTCAATAATCTGAAAATTATATGTATTTTCTGGATAACTATGTTTTAGTGTCATATAAATAATCTAGATGATATAAATTGGATTTTTTATCACCAAAACTTCTTTTAGAATACCTACCTTATAGCAATATGAAGTATATATGAAATGGATTTTACCTTCTATTTAAAGTTATTTAAGGTTTTATCCATACTCTGAGTCTGTGATGCAGGAATTGTAACATTAGGGACAAAAGTACTTTACATTTTTGCCCACCATTGTCAGTGATTTTTAAGTTTGAAATATGTATTTTAGTTGATATCTGTATTAATAATTGGATTTTGATGGAACCATCATGTTGTTATCAGTAATAGTTTTATTTTAATTATTTATTTTTTAAAGTTAACTTTACTTCTTTCTCTTGTAGTTGAATGGTAGATTACATTAACTAACTTTTTATTTTTCGTATCCATTTTAACAATGAGATGCAATTTCTAAAACAGTATTAACAGTATTATTTTGATGATATTAATAATGATCTGGGTTCCAAAGTATTACTGAGTAGTTTCATAAATGGAATGACTGCCTGATTTTTTTTTTCTCTGCTATTTAATAAAACCTAATTTATCTATCTTTAATAACTTTTTTTTAAGTTTTAAGCATTTAGTTTTAATTAATCAAATGCGTTTGAGAATGTGGATTTATATTTAGTGCTCAGTGACATGTGGTGGCGGGACGAAACTTCGGCATTTTTGGTGCCAATACGAAGGCCTCACAGACACTAATGATAGATGTCCAATGCCTATGCCCATATCAACTGAATCCTGTAATAATATACCGTGTGCTCACTGGATAGAAGATAAATGGTCCCAGGTGATTGTTATTTAATTTCTTTCTTTTAATTTAAAGTGTTATCTGTTTTAAAATGTTGTGGTTTGATGTTTTAAATTATAATAATATACATAATTTTGTGATTAGTTTTGATGGCATATTACTAACTATTACTCAAATCAATTTATTTAAATAACTATTTTTGAAAGATTTTATGGTATCAATTTTAAAAAATGCCTATTTGTGAATAATGTTTTCTTTTACTAATCAAGTTATATACTATTTGAAGAGACTTCCATTTATTCCTCCAACTCAAGTAACCAATTTGAGAGATCTACTCTTTTGTGATTTTTATTATAATAAGGCATCCCTTATTATACAAGCACTTCAGATGGAATGATGGAATTAATTGCTTAGAGTGAAGAAAATTTCAAGGGCCGCACAGTCATTTATTTCTCTCCATCACTCCATATTTTGCCAATAGGATTCATGCTAATACTATTCATTTTCAAATCTATTTGGAATTCACAAATATCATAATTCAATGTATTAATAAAAAACATTATCTTTGAATGTTACAATAATGATAATAATTGTCAGAAGATTATAATTAGAACTCTTCTTTTCAAAAAATATGTAATTGATGATTCTGGCAACATTATTTTAATAAAATGAAAAAGTTGGTTAATATTTAGGTATATTTACAAATCTCTCAATGTACAGATTAATACAACCCTTAAAAATGAATGAGAATTCCTCTTTAGTAGCAAGGAAAATAAATAATTTAATCTTTATCCTATAATTGCTCTTCCCTTCCCAAACAATTTTTTTTTGAATAGTGAACAATTTAGAATTTTATAAAATATAAAACCACTAAAAATATTCATTCCCTTTTAATTAATATTTATATTGTTTCACTTAGTTATTCATATAGATTATATAAAACCAATATCGTAAATTATAATTATGCTGTATGGTAAAAAAATTATTATTATTATTATTAAGATAGCATTTATAATAATTATTTTTAAAAAAAATTAAATTTAATTGTGATTATTTTGTATTTCCTGCCATTTCACTCTGTTTAACATTTTATCAAGTGAAATTAAAAAATAGAAGTTAGTTAAACAGGCATTATGAAAAAAACTGCTTAAAATTAGTTTGAATTTTCAATCTTTGTTTGTATTAGTATCACATTTCATATATCTGTGTGAATGGGTGTGAGTGTGTAAATATATATATATATATATGTATGTATATATGTTACAAACTGATCAAGCTATGCTGGACAAATACTCAGCCGCAGGAAAAAGACAAACAAAATAATAAGAACAGCCAAAAGAGAATTCCTCAAAGAAAGATTACAAACTATTGAGGAAAACTGGCAGGCTGGAAATATATGCTAACTCTTCGCAGATATCAAGAAAGAAAGGGTAGGATATAAAGCGAGAAATACGCAAATGCGAGGGAAAGATGGCAAATTGACAGCATCAAAAGAAAAGATCCTAAGCATCTGGAAGGAACATTTACAGCAGCTGCTTAACCAAGGGCACCCCACAAACGAGGAAGACATTGACCACACTGAGGACATCGACCCACTTGAGGTTGAAAAACCAGATATTCTGGATGTGGAAATAGCTATCGACAGGCTTAAAAGAAGAAAGGCTCCAGGGATGGACAACCTACCATCAGAATTGTTCAAGAATTGCTTCAGCCCGAAAGCTAGGCTAAATAGACTGATCTATGATCATATAATTTTCTTTGTACATGATTACATCAAAAAGCAGATGTACTATTGATGTTGAACTGCACCAGTTTTTGGACTTTTTGTTAGGTAATCCATGTTTTTTACCTACTTTTTTTTATCTAGCTAAAAAAGTCTCAAATTTATACTTCAGCTACCTAACAGTATACATGAAAGTAAAAGTTTATACTATGTTGATATTTGAGTATTTTATTCATATTTTGTTTTTTGTTTAATATTGGAGCCAAGTTTATTGGCAGGGAATATTTGCACCAATTTCTAAAATTCATCAAAAACCTGAGAAAATTTTGTACAATTGAAAGCTGTCTATATTGAAGAAAAGAAATCCTCAAAGCATTCGTTGTAAAAAAAAAAATCGTTAACAATTCTTTGGGAAAGGCCTATTTCTTTTTTTATTGAAATAAAACTAGAAAAGTTAGCACTGTTTGTAGTACACATTTACTGGAGCAAAGTATCTTCACTTTTGGTGCGAACTTCATTTTCATTTCATTTCAAAATTATTCTCAGTCACAGTTTTAGAATTTATGACCAAGGAAGAGATTGGTAACTAAATCTGGTATTTGCTTCTTAATCTTTTTGAACTAAATTTGAACAAATTAGATACCACAGTCATCATTGTACTTCCTGAAGAACTAACCCATCGCTAAAAGTTAGAGATATCTTTTTCAACAGATAATAACACGAGGAGAAAGAAAAATAGAAAATGAAATTTTCGCTCTGCGATCGGAAGATATTTTTCTCCTCTTTTCTTACCATGACTTCTGTTCCTTAGGCTAGCCACATATACCGATATGAATTATTTGACCTTATGAGACATAATATGCAGTATTAAGATGTATGACTAGATTTGTAAACCATTTTGATCTTTTAGTGGGATGGAAATTAAGATTCATTCTTTTTGTTAATTTTTATCATGGATGTTATCTGGATCCCTAAAACATATGGTGAGATATCTAAGAAACATGAAACATAAGCCTAAGCTTAAATCATAATTCATGTTTATGGTGTATTATTGATTTCATAGTGGTGGTTGACAGTGATAATGGAGTATCGTTTTTTAATCGATGTGCATGTTTTGTTATTATATGAAGCCAAGATGTGTGTTAATGCAGGTGGTAAGTTGGCGGGATAGTGTGATAACAAATTTATGATAAGTGAATTGTAGTTATGGGAGTACCGTTGTATTGTGACAATCGGTAACGGTTATATATAGTTCTTGGTTTTTTTATGAAGCGTGGCCATTATTGGGGATTTGGAATTGAATTATGTGGTAATGAATGTCTGCTGTTGCTTTTTGAGGACGCATGACTGCATGAATAGATTGTAGGTAGGTTTGTCTTAATTTCCTTAGCGGTTGCGGATATAAAGCCTGTTTTATTTCCTGGTTTCGGAGGTGATCGGGATGGGGCGGTATTGAAGGGGCGTCTTGTGGGGGCAGATGTGCGTTGATATGTAAACCGAAAATTAGGGTGGGATGGTTGAATAGCGGTTGTAGAATTAAAATGATGTTCTTAGAAAGTTATAGATGCGTGTTTTGCCAGGTTTAGCGGAAGTGAATGTAGGTGTTAGTATGTCTTGATGTTGTTCGCTAGGATCTGATTAGTTTGTTTGGGGGGCGTACGGCTTGAATTAGGGTTTTAAGGTGGACGTCGGTTTTTCCTGTGTTGTAGAGGGTATTGTTAGACCGCCGATATACAAATGAGTGGGGTACAAGTTGATCAGGAGGTGGGGTCCCGGTTAGGGGGTAATAATGGTGTTACTTGGTGTATTTGTGTGTGAAGTGTGTTGGGTCATATGGGGTTTGGGGGGTTACTTGGTGGGGGTTAGGGTTTGGGGGTACGGATGTTATCTACTGGGTGTGTGATACTGAGTAAGTTAAAGTTCATTGGGTTTGGGGTGTTAAAGTTGAGCCAGATAAATTGCGAGGTTGTTAGGATGCGGTTTGATATGGGGCTACCCGTAGTTGATTGGGTTTATGCTCTGAGAGAGGGCTTGAATCAATATGATTGTTCATTTGATTTTGTTGTAGGATGGTGTTCTTCCAAGAATAATTCATGTAGGATGGTGCTACGGGAATTGATTGTTTTTTGGTAATGTACGGGATGAACCGTGTTACTTTAATTATTATGTGAGAGGAATAAATTGTTGGGTCAAATTTCAATTTCTACTAGGATTAAAACATGTTTACTATTAATTATGTGCTTTGTTTTTTAAATTTTAAATTGTATTGCAGAAATACTTAATAATTCATAGGGTATATTACTATATAATAATCATATTGTGGGACTCTAGTAAGAGGAAAATTAGGTCTATTATATGTGTGATTTCTATTATTATTTGGTTTAGTATTTTTTTTGGTGGTCATCATCAGTGTGATCTATATAAAACTATAGTAGTCCTTTTCATGCATTGAATTACAGTTCATAAGTCCAAATATTTTTTAACAAAAATAAACAGTAACCAATGTGTAGTACATCCAAAAGCTGTTATTTAATATCTTCAAGTATTTTTTTAAAAAAGTAATGATTTTATGAGTTCTATAAATGAAGCAATTAGTTATTTTTAAAAAAGAAGGTTAATTTAAAATAGGTAGTGAAAGCATATTTAAGTTATAAAAGCAGTATGATGGCCTCAATATTTCAATAAATCTTTTTTCTGTGCCTTCTGTACGTAGGTCAAAGATCTAACATTTCAGATTTAGCATCTTCTTATCTATAATATCTCATAATATTAAAAAATTCTCATTACAAATAGACATTTACGTACCTTAGATGTCTTTCTTAATGATATTTTGACTTATACAGGGTAAGAGACACAATTCATATTAAGGTGTTGTAAGAGGTCCTGTATACTGTATTTGTGTGGTATATGGGGTTCATATTTTATATAATTTTTTTTTGTTTCTTAAAGAATTGCAATTAATGTGATATTGATATTTTTCTTTTATCGATTTTTTAGATTCTTCTGAACTTTCAAGATAAAATGTGCTGTGGTCCAATATATTTTTTAAATAATTCTTTTAGATATAAGTAGTGAGATGAATATTTATTTAGTGTCGAACTAGAAAGACAAATCTTCTTTCAAAGTAATTTGAATTAAATTTTTTGTAGTGTTCTGTGAGCTGTGGGACTGGCGAAGAAATACGAAGAGTCATCTGTTCAGTTCCCAATGGTTGCTCAAATATAACGAAGCCAATAACTTCAAGACCATGTTATATGACTCCATGTAGCTTGGGTCATGAAAATGCTATCCCAGGTGATATAAATGGTCAAAAATACACTTGGCGTCATATTTCATCACCGGTAACATTTATTTCATATAGTTACATTTTGTTCAATCATAACATTGTTCATTTCATAACATAGTTCGATTTTAAGTATGTGCTTCCTCAACTACTGCCTAACCCTAATGATGAATTACTTACGTCTAATTTTTGTAAATATATTTTGAACTTAAACAGATTGTTTAAATTATTAAAAGAGAGAAACAGAAAAAATCAATAAATCCTCCTAAAGCTGTTCAATAACTTTAATCTTTTTGTAGATTGGAAAATTTTAATATTTTTCATTTTATCATGTTTTTTTAATAATTTTTCATGATTTTAATATAACTGATCTATTAATAAATTTACAAATCAATTGTAATTTATTTTGTGGAAATTGATCATTCCTTCAATAGAAAGACTAATAAAATCAAAGAGAAAAATATGTAAGATGTGCTTTGTGTGAAATAGGAAAATACATAAAAACAAACATGGACTTGCATTAACATTCTGAAATAACCATCGCTCCCATAAATTTTACCAATGTTTATTATCACAGGAAAATGGTATTAATGAATATTTCCATAAATTTCTTTTTCTCATTATAATTTCTTCTCTTTAATTTTTTTAACTTGTAGTTCTTTCTTTATTCTATGGTAGAAAAATGTTTACTAGAGGTTTAGAAAACATTAGGTACTTTTAAATACTTTTGCAGATTTTTTTTTGTTGTAAGTGAATTTCTTCATTTTAATTGATTTTTTTTTCCAATTCTATAGTTCTAAAGTTTAATTAAAAATTAAATATAGAATTAAAATTTTTTTTAGAAAGTTTTGAATAACTGGAGTGTTACATAAATCACTGTGCCAGTCGCATTGATGGAAATTGACAGTCCAATTCCAGCATTAAAAATTTCAAAATTAGTAGATTTTAGACCACTCAATCTGTATGAAAATTGTTTACCACTTATGTTTTTTCAAATAAAATTACTGTTATTTAATAAATTGTGTTTTAACAGCCCATATTTTCAATAGTTTTTTTGTAATCACTGGGGACTCAAAAACGTGTAAATTTAAGTGCAAAATTTTCTTTACAAGTAATTCCCCAGGTTAGTTGAAGAAGTAATATTTCAATTACTAAATATTTAAGAAGTAATTTTAAAATTTAAATTATAGATCAATTTTAAATATTACCTTGTAGTCAAACAACATATTTCCTATTTTCCTTTTAGTGTTCAGTAAGTTGTGGAAAAGGTGAAATGAGAACTTCAGTTGAGTGCTATGATAATGCAGCTGGAAAAGTGACAGATGTAAGAAACTGTGGTGGCCAAATTATCCCATATGGGAAGGTTGAGTTGTGCTATATGCCTCAATGTCCTCATTGGGAAATAGGAGACTGGGAACCATGTTCAGCTATTTGTGGATCAGTAAGTTTAAAATTAAATACCTAAATTATTAAATAACAATATTCTGGTAAATGTTTTTTATTTTGTTCATTTTCTTAATTGTTATGTTGTTAAAATTTTCCATTGACCAAGATCTCACCATTTAAGCGGTTTGTGGAATGATTGTTGAAATAACAATGAATAAACAAAAGTTATCTTTTCAGAATTATTAATGCATAGCCGTAAATCTCAATTGTGGAAAGACAAAATATGTTTATTCATTATTATAGTTTTGATGAGAGGTCAACATTGTTCGTTGGCTTGATCACGAGAGCATTTTATCTTATCAGTTTTAGAAGTAAATTATCAATAGCAGGGGTTGAAATGGAATTTTAACTTTTATTACAATCAGTTTTGGTATGACTGAAATCTTCATTTTCAATATTTTTCTTTTATTAAGGAACTAGAAATTTTCTCTGGTAACTTTTCAATTAAAGGTTTACCTTTATTTAAAATTTATGTGGATTTCACCAAAAAGTTGATCTCATTTTTTTTTCATTTAGACAATCAGACAATAGAATAAAAACAAGTTTATTGAGAGTTTTTGTTAGAGATAGTGACTCAAATAAACTTTAATAGATTTTATAATTGTGATGGCAATTAATAATTGTCAAAATGATTTAGTTACCAACACTCATCCATCCCTGATCATCAGCACTTTAAACATAACATTATATCTGATATTTGGGATTGTTGTAGGGGACTCAGAGCAAACGTGTTACCTGTGAAGCACAGAATGGAGTAATATTGCATGACAGTGCTTGCTCTTTGGAAACAAAACCAAGAATTGAAAAACCATGTAATGTCTTCTGTCCACAGACCTGGATAAAATCTCCTTGGAGTCGAGTAAGTATTATTTAATTCTTGATCATAGTCTTACATACAATTGAAGTATTTCTCTTCTTATCCAGTTAATCCAAAAAATTTAGGTATAAAAAGTGGATTATCTTGTGAAAGGTCATGCAGTTCTGATTTTGTATTTTTTACAAAACAAAAAATTACCATATCTTCAAAATGTTTCATTGAAAAATTCACGAATATATTTCCACACTATGGTAATGTATCAATCTAATAGTCTTATTTTACAGATTAAATAAAATAATTTAATTAGGACATGGGACAATAATTTAAATTCTGAATAAAAAAAAAAATTAGAAGAGAAAGGACTTTCAATCTTTGTGGTAAATCTAGTTAGTTATAATTTCCGGCTTAGGTATATACTATACTAAAATTCACCAAATTTCTTGTTTACATGTTAAAATACTTTCAATATAAAATTCATATCTTTGGTATGTTCACATTTTATTTTTATTTAGTATATAGAACAAAGAAACTCTATAGTATCTTTGTTGACTAAATAAGTGCTACAATATTATCCAGATATGTAATATCTTCAAATATGTAAAATAAAGGATGTAAAATAAATGAAAACTGTATTAAACGCAAAATAAACTGTCAATGCTAGAAGAGGTACGAGAAGCGATGGGAGCCAACTTGGACAGATATGGGTTAAGGCTGAGGGATTAAACTTGGTGCGCAAGGCGGTGTGAAGTTTGACAAGTAGGCATATTCTCCATAATTGAAGAGGAGGCTCAACAGACCTGGAATAGAATATCCTCTGGAGACATTTTTTTAAGCTGCTGTACATACCCTTGGCTTGTTATAAACTATCTCCAACATTTTAATAGTCCTTTGTTCACTGGGTCAAAGATCATTGGTATATTGTCTTTTCAATTTCTAATAACAGTTTCGTTACTTTTGATAAAGGTTTTCATTATTAACTATCATATTCATAATTGAATATAATAACTTACCTGAAATTAAATAATTTGTTATCACAATAATCATAACCTACTAGATATTTGTTTTGATTAAAAGCTTTGTTCTTATTTCAGTGTTCAGTATCCTGTGGTAAAGGAATTATGATGAGAAAAGTTGTGTGTTATGGACAATGCAGTGGACCAAAACCTGATACCAGTGCTCCTTGTGAAGCAGGACCATGTGAAGATGAAGGATTGTGGAATACAGGACCATGGTCACAGGTAATATTTGCAATAGATAAAAATTTCTTATAATAAACTTCAACATCTGTTGTCATTGGAATGAAAATAGATGGTGACGATTTATTATGAAGTTGAACAATTAAACTGAATGAGTAGGTTCTTCTGTAGTAAGTAACCTGAAAGAGTAGGATCATTTAAACTGAATGATGTAGGGTCATAGGTGATGAATAGACATTAAAATAATATATTCCTTATTTCCATTACCATTTTTTACCATACTAAGGTATATGGTAATGTATAAGAACCATCTGTATGAATAGTTATTGTTTAATTCTGAATAAAAAAAAACATTAAATGGCCCATGTTTATTTTTTTATTCAATAATATAGTTTAGTGATGTGATTTATTTTTATTCATTATCATCAACCCCAACTCGCAACAGACTTTTCAAAACTTATAAAGGACTCTATTAGTGGTCTCTATGATTTGACTACGATTTCAAAATCATCTGTAAATCCTGGTGTGATATAACATGAATAACCAACTTCGGTTTGTTTGTGATCAATTTCACAAGTCTAATAAGTTTCTGGGGGTTTCTTTGAGATTCCTGCATAATCTAGTATAGTTTCAACCAGTGCTGGCCTTAGGGTGGAGCAACCGGGCACCCATCTTGTTAGAAATTTTAAAAAAATAAATACAAAACGTATTAAAATAATTAATATTAATTTATAATTAATAGAGCAAATATGTCAAAGAAATATTTAATGAAATTAAATTCAAATACTGCATAATTCAAAACAGCCTGTGAAATAAATTAATTTTTTTTAGAGGAGAGGGAGATGATGTCATTGCCCGGGAGTACCGAATCTCTAAGGCTGGTTCTGGTTTCAAGCTATTTACACTATCATAAGCTCATCTGAAATCTGAGTCTGATCTTATGCCAATCAAGTTTTATCTATTGCTACAATGCAAAATTATTGTAGGTGTCTGCCTCTGCTAAGTTGTAAAGCTAATTGCGAGAACAAAACAAACTTTTAATGTTAATCCCATATATAACACAATATACTTTATTCTATATCTCCTCTTTCATCCGAAATCCAAGCAATAATTTTTCAGTCTTTTTAAAGTTTTTTAAAGAAAACCTCAGGTGGTGTCAGAGAACCATTAAGGAGTGTACAATGCAGTGTTGGTTTTAGAAGTTTTGCTGAACAGATTTCGAGTTGGAAGACAAAGTAGATTATGTATGCCATTCTGTAGTTAACAACGACCACCTGAAGTCAATAGATGAAGCAAACCCAATCTGGTATAGCTAGTGGAAGAACTTGGTATGAACCAATTCACCATCCTACACCACCTGGAGGCCATTGGTAAAATAAATAAGCTCATGAATTAGGTCCAAAGTATGCTGATCTACTGACGGTGTCCTGTACAGCTTTCTCAATCGTCACGGAATTGTCACTGCCAACAAGTACTATCAGGAATTGATGTCTTGCATTGGAAAACCACAATGTCTTTGTCCAGCATCGGTTAATAGGAAGAAGCTGGACCTTCTGTATGATAATGCTCCTGTATGTTGCACAACCAATTTCGTAACAACTTCATTAGTTGGGATTCTTTTAATTGTCAGTCTATATACTTGACTTATCATCTACTGAATTCTAGCACCTGGTGAACTTTTTATAAAAAAAACTTTCAAAACCATAGTGATAATGAAAATAGTTTTCAGAAGTTCATTTTTTCTGGAAATTAGAATATATTTCATACTGGGATAAATAGGTTTGCTGTACTTTGACAAAATTCATTGATTTCGATACAAATTATTATAAAAATTTAACTAAATATATATTCGTGAAGTAAACATGTAGCATATTTTTTCTTTATATATATACATATAAAATTTCCATTATTTTTGCATGAATCCAAGAATATCATAAAATTGTAAAAATGATTGATTTGTACATATAAATAAGACTTTAATAATAACTAATGAAATTTGATAGAATAATATCTTATAACATCATTATATTATTGTAGTGTAGTGTCACATGTGGTGAAGGAATCCAGGAAAGACAAGTACGCTGTGAAGGAAAAAGTGGTGAAATTCTTCCAGATAATTATTGCCCTGAACCAAGTCCAGGCAGAGAACAAAAATGTAGTTTTGCCCCATGCAAACCTGTCTACAGATGGGAAGTCACCCGATGGACACCAGTAAGTACTTATATATCAATTATAAATTCCTAATGTAATATTACTGGAAAATAATTAATCATAAAAGCCATCTAGTAAAAGTGACAAATTGACTAAATGGTTACTAGCGTTATGGATGGAGTGGCAGCCTTAAGGTAGCCATCAGAGCTTAGCAAAATGGCCACACGGCCCACTTGCCATACTAGTTCCCCCATCAATAGTACCAGCGGGATGATTATCAACTATTTTATTAGAATATTAACTATTGAAATACTTTGGTATGGTCCTTCTTCTTAAAGCCCACTATTCATGTTTATATTAATATAAATTAATCTATAGCATAATTATAAATTTTTTTTTCTAATCAATTATATTTCTTTCTATATCATTCCTTACATAAAAAACATAACTGAAAATATTTAAAATTTCATAATGACAATAACATAGATTTGGCATAGTAAATATTATTAAATAAAATTTTTTTTTTAAATTAACTTTAATCAATACTTAACACACTATGAGCGTAAAGATTATCTAATTCATGGCATTAATCTTATATAATATTTAGATTATTCAATTTACATTAAAATTTCAATGTGTAAGATAATTAATTTTATACACATAATTATTCAGCCTAACAAAACTGGTTTTTATTTTTTTTTTCTCTCATAACACCATTTACTATTTTTTTTTTTAATATATACTGTGACTTTATATTCACATTCTCAAAATTAATGCTTGCATTATAACTAAATTTAATTTAATAAAATTTGATTCTCTTATGAAATTTTAGTATATATATACTATACAGATAAAACCTTTTACCTTGATATAAAAATCGTATTGTTTTATGATCTCCATATTTAGGATGATCCATACTCTAAGGTACAATGCGTGAATTTACTGGAATAGTTGTCAGAAGTAGCAAAAGAACTACTTTTTAGCAGATTTTATTATATTCTTCTTCAAGGAGATGCAATTCAGCACTGATTAAAGAAAGGTTACAAAACCATAATTATAATGTTTTCTATTATATATTAATCAATATGGGTTTTAAGTATAAACTACTTATAATTGAATTGACATGTCTTACTTAGTAGTAGTAGTAAATTACATTATTCTGGCTGAGAATTACATAATTATATGGTAAAATGCCAGCAAGTTGAAAGTTAATGATTGATGTTAATTACCATATACTAAACATATTTGTATTATGATTTTGTAACCCTCTTTGTAATCTTTGTAAAAAATCAGAATCATCTGAAAGTTACTGAGCAACTCTTCAGATTATAATATTTAAGTTTTCCATCACTCGGCCCTGAGAAGTGTAATGGTTGAACATGGGTGTGAAAACCATTTCTCATATTTTACATATTTTATGTAAAACTATAAATAAATAAAACGTAATTGAATCTTGCTTGAATTATTAAATCTCTAAATAAAAATTAAGGAATACATTTCAGACATTAAATTAAAAAAGTTAGATTTCACTATCCAAAAATAAATGAGTAAACTGATAATTAGGAAAAATTCAATTTATATGTAAAATTTTTTTTTTTTTTTTTTGTCTATAACAAATATATTTGCGCCTGTCAAAATATTGTTGACAATCAGCAAATGCGATGACGATACAGGAAATAATGACATGAAAGGCATGGGGAAGGAAAGTATTCAGCAGTAACTCTTCCCTAACTTGTTCCAATTACTTAGGTTGTCTAAGGAAGGAGATCCCTCATCCAACGCCTTTTTAGTCTCTTGCTCATGTTCTGAGGTATGTCAGCTGTGGCCATGTCTCCACAGAAAGATGGACAAAGAGCCTGTAGTCAGCTGATTAGCGGCCATTTTGTGGATACATGGCTTGAGTCACCTGTGCAAGCTGTTGGAGGATACTAAACAGGGGCTGTATGAGGGAGTTTAAACCATTGAGTAATTGGAGCAATTGAGGTGGGGCATTATTTTCAGCTGAAGGTGGCTGCTGAGTAGTTTCCCGCCTCATTCCTATGTAAAATTTAAATACTAATTATGTAATCTAACTATCATTGTAAGTATAGACAAAATAATTCTGATTTTGATTATTTTAGTTATTATGATTAGAAAAATAAAAGGGAAATTACTAATTTTATAAAATTAAGCTCACATTTCGCAGTGTAAGGTATATAATTAGCTTTTAATAAATCTCAATATTAATTGATCAGTATTTTTATTGAAAAGAAAATAGTCTTCATAAAAATTGTTTTAATAATCGATAAACTTAAATCTTTTATTTAAATTCAGTGATGTTGGAGAAAAAATAGTAATTTGCTATTTCAATGCAAAGACAGCACAATTTATTGACTTTTGCTTTTCATACATTACTTCATATTACTTTCAACCAATATTTTATAATAAAAACTATATCATTTCCTGTTAATCCAGATCATTCATTATTATTATATCTATATATACATATTGTATAAAATAAGAAATAATTTCTTAATTTATTTCAAATAGTATATTAAACCAAGAAACAAATCTATCAGATGTAAAAAAAATAGGTGTACATTGGCATTGCCTAATATAAGGGACTATTCTAGTGTTCTACAAGTTGCGGTAAGGGAACGCGGAGAAGACAAGTAGACTGTAAGTCATCCAAGGGAGAGAGAGTACCTGATCACCATTGTTCTATTGCAAGGAAAAGGCCTAATGACTTGAAAGCTTGTAAGAAATCCCCGTGTCTTTTCGACTGGGAAGAAGGGGAATGGTCGCAGGTACCAAACGAAAAACTGACGTTTTCATCGTATTGGATACTGTTGTTTTGTTGGTGTTTTTTACTATATGTTTCTGTTTATTTATCATTTGTGTCATCTGCATGATTGGAGAACAGATAACTTGGAGTGGCTTATTTATTCATTCATTACTAATATTGGCAATTCATAAATTTGCCCTGGTGTATGGTGTGTTGATTGCTTTATAATTAATAAGTTTTATTAAATGTGAAACCAATGTCATAATTAAGCATCAATTTTTGTTACTTGTAGTTAATGCTTTGTAATTGTTTGTATGGATTTAAAATTGAAAAAAAAAAAAATCAGGTTATTAGAGCAGAAATTACTATTAAAGTGTAAGTAAGCATGCGTCAATGCTCCCACATGATTAATTATTATTACTCTTGGGATATTGACTTTTAAAACCTTCAGAACTCCTGGAATTTATTTCCTTTTAGATTCTTATTACTTTATGAATTGGGGATTTAAAAAATGATGGATATGCTCAATTCCTGAATGTTTATATATTCTAATATACATCGTAAATTCAATGAGTTTGACTCTTTATGTAAAAATTAAAATAATATATACATATATAGGTATTAAAATGTAAAATTTGAAAATATTTACTGAGAATTATTTTTCAGTAAAACATTAATTCATAATTGGAGAAGTATTCAGCATGATTCAATTTTTTTTCTTTAAATAAGAGAAACTTATTTTTATTGCCAGGATTGATATTTATCTTTTATTGTTTTTATTTTTTAAATCATTGAATAGGTAAATACAAATTGGTGTTGTTGCCAATGCTATTTATTTAATTCAGCATGCTAATTATTCTAATATCTAAAGCTGTTTGAAACCAGTTTACGTGTATTTTAACGCATGAATATATATAATTATCATTTGTTTTATTTTTATAATTATCAATTATAATATTTATTTTAAAAATTATTTTAAAACTACATGTCATGGCTTTACAAACTTTTATTATTATTTTTTCACTAATAACATAAATTTCATGTTTAAAGTTTCAATGAAAATTAGCATCATTTGTTATCAAATTTGTGACTAAGAGAGAGAGAAAATGGTTATAGACTCGGCAGACCATTTTTAATATTTATATATTTTCAGAAATAATATTTTTTTCTCCCATACATTTATTTAACTTTTGAATGTGTTGAATCTATGATATTTAAAAATAGGAAAGAAAAATCATTGTTAAAGCCTGGGAACTTTTTTCTACCCAGCCATTTACATGCAGTATTGTCCTTAAATCATAATAAATATTCAAGTCATATGCTTTTAAGAAATTAAATCTGAAGAGATTTTTTTTGCAGACCATGTCATGGTCTACTGAACCTTAAAATAAGTAGATAACATTAATTTTTAAATTAAAAATCCTATTAAATGATTTGTGATACTACTAGAAACTAGACGTTTTTGCACCCAATCTGTTAGTTACTTTATTTGATCTAAGTTCATTTCTGTAATTTTTAATCGAAAAAACAAACATGTAACTAAAACTTAGTTGGTTTTCATTTTAACTTGTTTTACATCTGGCAGCCGAATTAGGAATATTATCAGGGTAGTTTTGTTGGGTGATAAATAATTATATACTGTACTTAAAGACCTTATCATCTATAATATTGCTGCTTTCTACCTAGAATAGTTGATGTTGAAAGTTTGAATTTTTTTTTTTTTTTGGAACATTGAACGAACATTATTGGTGCTATGACTTTGACCCAATTTACTCCATATGTAGTATTTCACGTGACATAATTCATTACCAACATTTACCTAAACAATTTTGCCGAATTATATCTTTGATTTGTCTTATTTTGCATCCAAAAGCTCAATTTTAACCAATAAATAAGCGGAAAGCCAAAAATTCAAAATAAATAAAAGAAACTAGATTTGAATAGAAGTTTTATTTGTTTGTAAAGCCATTCAGATCGATTAATAATTTTGAAGAGAAGAATAGTTGGGGTGGTCAGTCAAAAAATAAGGCAAAAATAAATGATAATATTTACTTTTACATATGCCGACGTTTCGACCTGAAGTTCAGGCCTTCATCAGGGCTGTCTCCATAAGAGTTGCAGGGGGAATCTGATTCTCCCTGAGAATCTGAGAATTTGATTCTCCCTGCAACTCTTATGGAGACAGCCATGATGAAGGCCTGAACTTCAGGTCGAAATGTCGGCATATGTAAAAATAAATATTATCATTTATTTTTGCCTTATTTTTTGACTGACCACCCCAACTATTCTTCTCTTCATTATCCACTACAGTCAACCATTTACCAATTATGATTAATAATTTCATTCATTTTTTATAAAAAGTACAATTTTTTCAGATCTTTTTGATCTACTATAAATCGAGAATTCCTTAAAATTAAATTTCATTATGGGTAATAGCAGTTTATAAATGAAGTTAAAATACCTTTGCTTTTACTTTAGTATTTTGAAATAAATTATTTTGTTGTAAAAAGTTACACAATTTTATAAGTGTGATTGACCTTGGAGGAAAACTTTTTTTAAATTAAATCTTTCAAAGATTCATTTATTTAATAAAATTTTTAAAAACACTTATAAATTGAAAAAAAAAAAAGTGTGAGACGCTTTGTATAATTAATTTATGAATAATTAAAAATATCTGAAGGTGGTGAAATATTTATTTTCTTTGTTGTAGACTTCAAATATTTTATGATACCTTTTTATTTATAAATGTTATTCTTTTAATCTCTAATTTTTTTAATGAAATACATTCAATTGATTTCTTCTGTAGTTGCGAATTGGTGATTTATTTTCTTTTATCATATCTTCTTTCTCAAAACTTACTTATATTTAACTATATGTTTTACAGTGTACTTCATCTTGTGGGACTGGCAGACAGATGAGAAAAGTTCGTTGTGTTAAAAACAGCTTTAATAATAAATCTCGTAAAGAACCACATGAAATAGATGAAAGGTTTTGTAATCCTAGGACAAAACCAGAAACCAGTAGAACATGTAGAGGTTACTGCAATAGTATATATAAGTGGGAAGTTGGTATATGGCAACCTGTAAGTTTATTTTACAATTTTATTTTTCTATATCAACAGCCACACTGAAAAAGCCTGTAAGAACAATTTCTTCACCTTTTCTGGTCAATCCTGACTTGGCACATATTCTGATCCCACAAAATGAAATCTACGATGTTTCATTTCTTCTCTATGGCCTTTTGTAAAAATCTGTAACTTAAAACCAGTAAATTATGATGTAAAAAACTGCAAGTTACAATGAAGGTTATAGAGATTATTTTGTTACCAAAAAAACGTAATGAAGTGCTCAATGAAAGATGTTCATGTAAATTTCTATTAAGTGGCGGGCATTTCCAGCCTGGCATGTTTAGGCAAATATCTGGGTTACCCTGCCCTGAGGCTGCCACTGCTTACCATGGAACTAAACAAAGTAAAGAAGAGAGTGGTAAGTAGGAATATAATATTAAACAGCCTTCAAACCAATCGATACCTCCTGGCAACTGCAAAATGAGCTTGACTGGAAAAAAACTATAATGCCGCCAATTGCCAGATAGATAGAGAATTTATTTCATTAATTGAAAAATTTAACACCAGACGAAAAAAGAACTCTAGTTTCATCTTTTCAAACCAATGAATCTTCAAAATCACAAAAAACTCAGAAATGAAGTGATCTACACATCACCTAGAACTTACCAAGCATTCTTGAATCAAACCATGTCCATATGAAGTTGAGTACATTAAAAGCGAAACTTTCATAGACTTCTCCAAAATAACCTACTGTGGGAGACAAAAAATTGAATAACCCCTGTGATCAAATACTCACTTTCAAGTCAAATGTTTTATAAATTTTCATTTAAAGTAACGTTTCTCTATATTTTGGAAACTCACTTTGTTTCTTTCACGATTGGTCAATATTAATAAAGTTATGGGTGTTAATACAATAAATCTGATTGCTTTTACCTAACTAATATCTGTTTTTCAAAGTAACTAAAAAGCTATATGTCAATAGTAATGGCTCTAAAAGATTATTTGGTAGAACACGATCAAAAGGTTACATAAAGCATTACTTCCTTGTCTTAGGCATTCAAAAAAAATTTAACCGAAAATATAATGTTGATAGAACTAAAGTTACATAGTTTTTTTTCCTCTCCTGAAAATTTTTAGTTTTTGTTCTTACAAGCTTTTGCAGTGTGGCAGTCGATATGTTAGAAATTGTTTAATTCATTTCATTATTTTGTTCAAAATTGTTCTTTAATAAATTATTCATTTTGATTTGAATGACTTTATTCACAACTATCAATCTATTATAATTCAAATATTTCCTTCATACTCCACAATTACTATTTATTCCAGTAAATACTTTTTTTTGTCACTTTAATAGATAGCAACAAAAGCAATTACATAACACTGCTTCAAAGAAATAGACAATATTGTCCTTTTATTTTATCATAAATAGAGTTTGGTATGGTAATAATATATTGAAAATATTTAATTTGTATATTTCAGTTATAGTTATTGTCATATTGAAGTATTTTCTCATTGAAGGTTCATTTCACATTCATATGATAGTGAACTCATAAATATTTAGTGATTAAATTGTCCTATCAATAACTAGATTATTATATTCAGTAATTGAATAATTTTGATTTACTTTAGTGTTCAAAACCATGCAGTCGAAAAGGAAAGCAAAAGCGTAATTTATATTGTTATAATGGTAAGAAGAAAGTAGCTTTGAAATATTGCAATAAAGAGTTACGACCTGAAAGGAGAAGAAAATGTGAAACTGTAATGTGTGAGTTTATATTTTGTTACTAAATAAGCTTAATTAAATTTAGTTTCAAGTTACATTTTTCGTAATCTCTTGGCAAATTTTAACATAAAATTATTAGGAATGGTATAAATAAGGAAATCCTATCATTCATAGTTCTTCCTTTATATTTATAGCCGGAACATAAAGAAAATCATGTAAAACAAACACAGAACTGCGATTCTAAATACATAATGGATCTAACTTTGTTTTATTAGTAAACAGAAAAAAATGAATATTCCATGGAATTTTTATGCATTGTTGCATTGATACTAACCGAATAAATTTGGTTGCTATGATACACAGCTCACTTCGTCAGCAATTAACACATTTATGTAAACTACTAAAAAATATACTTATTTATTTTATTTTATTTTCCTCCCTACCCTGCCTTTAAGACAATACAGGGGGTTTGCAGCAGTGATTTGATACACATTGTATAACAAATCACTGTTGCAAGTTTATCTTTTTACATTTTTAAATTGCTGTGCACACAGCCTGCTTCATAACTGTGTCTCTTATCTTATCGTCCTCCATATTCTTCTCCTGTCCTAATCAGCGGCCTTCCAGGTACTGCTTCTTCACGCCTTCCCAGGGAGAAGTGGGTCAGTCCCACAGTTTTTTTCCACCCGCATAACAAAACTTTTAAAGTGCGGGTAGTTTTGTTCAGACATCAGTTCGGGTAATTGTCTTTCTGTTAAAACGAAAATCCCTGTATCCCTCATTAATTTGGCCCTCAATGCCTAACAGCTGGTGCAGGCTACCAGGATGTGCTCAGCGGTTTCAGGTACTCCACAGGTGGGGCATAAGGGATCGATATTTTTACCATGTTTAAAAAGTTTCGCTCTGAAACCTCCATGCCCCGTAAGGATCTGTGAGACCCAGTAGTCCGGGAGGACCCATTTCTTTTCTAAGCGCAATTTAACGGTGGAAAAGAATTTTCTTAGTGTGGACCCGTTTGGGGTTGTCACCCATCGCCAATTCCATTGTTCCAATGTATCCTCCTGGAGGATTATCTTCCATCTTTTGGGGCCAAGCCATCCCTATTAATGTTGTACCAATAAAGGTCTTCCCGTATATATATAAATATAAAAAAATATATAAGTATAATATATAATATAAGTATATAAAAAAATATACTTAAACAATTATCAGATTTTCTTTCCTTTTCTAATTTCATCTTCGTTCTTTACTCTTAATGAACATTATTTATGAAGTGGGCCATCCTCTAAATGTAATTGAAGTAATAGCATCACGTCAATTAAAGGGAGTTCCTTTCTCCTTAGATTACATAAGAAGTTAATTACTCAGTCTTATCGTAAAAGCAAACCATGGATGTTTTATGGCTCTTCATTTTTGGTCTACGATTTAGAACTCTTAAGTCATTCCATGAGGCATATCATTTACAGAGCAAGCCTCTGATAGTAAACAGTTATTATTATCTTTTTTTACCACTATTTTTCTGTTTCAAAGGCCCTTCCTGTCAAGCCCTTCAAGAAGGATTTAATGAACATAGAGATGGAGAATACCAGCTTTGGGTTAAAGGAAAGAATGTGACAGTGTTCTGTTATAATATGCAAGAAAATAGACCTACAGAGTATCTAACTCTTCCACCAAATGATAATTTTGCTGAAATTTTTAGTAAAAGGTACATATTTTTAGGTTGAATATATGTTTTGCTGCTCGGAAGCCAATCCAATAAAGTCTATCACTTTTGTATACCAATTGAATACATTTTGAAGAGAGAAATTTTCTGATTTTAATTCAATAAATAAGTATCTAAGAGTTATTTTACTGATTCTTGTTAATCTCTCTTTGACAATTTCAAAATCAACTATTTATGTTTTCTGAAGTTAATCACATTGGTCTCTGAGTGCACTCATGTATCAGACGTTGAAGCAACTGTAAATTATTATTATTATTTTATTTTTTAGCCTGAGATACCCGACAAAGTGCATGAACATGGACAGAAGGCTTGATGGCTGTGATAATGAATGGAACCAGGTAGCTTATGGTTTCACTTATTTTAGGAAGATTCGAATCAACTTAACTTCTTTAATTGTTGACAGTAAGTTGACTATTTAAAATAATAACATAATTCTTTAAATTGAGTTTTCAGTTTAAAAAAAAAAAAATTGAGGATAAAAAAGATAAGTTCCTATATGTTATTTTTTCATATATTAGATTTGTTTAAGGTACCATAACTTAAATTATATTTTGTATTCTAGTGTTCATAACACAGTTTTATGAATTTATCGTCCTGAACATATTTTATTCAGTCAGGTTGGGATGAGAATCGAACTAAGTAACTGCCTAACTGGGATCTCTAGACAAATTATTGAAGAATTCATAACTTTAGTTCTTCTCAATATTTTGTTTTCATTTAAAGTCTATATTTTAAGTCAAGTAAACCTAAATATAATGTCAAAATTTCAAAAGTCTACCATTAGCCATTGCTGAGCTTACCCCTGACAAAATTTTATTGGACATACAGACAGACAAACAATTTTTTAAAAGTGGATTTGGTGTCTGTAATGTATGAAACGGAAAAATATCATGAAACAGGTTGATTCTATTCAATGTAAAGACAAAACCTTTATTTTATTTACATAGATTTAAAAATTAATCTCTGTTTATTTGTCATTGTATAGTAATAAAATTACATTTATAATAGTAGTATGTAACTTGGCTCATAGACCTATAACCTTCAAACAAAAAATTTGTGATATAAATTTTTCTGAAGATATTTAGATCCTTGAAAGCTCTTCCATATTTCAATTTTTTTCTTAAATATGTATGAATACAAATGAATCATGAATTGCAGCAACTCTACATGTCAAACTCTATAAATATGAATATATGTGATTCTAATATTGAAATAGCTATGAAAGTTTTTGTAATTTTATTTACATATATATATATATATATATATATATATATATATATATATATATATATATATATATATATATATATATATATATATATATATTTATCTAACAACTTAATACTTATTATATTTTATTAATACTTAATAATTTTAAAACATTTCAGCCAATGACTGGACATTCGCCACAACGATGAAAGGCAGTCCAGTAAATTTTGGAGAAGCAGGTGACTGTCAAACGAGGGGTCTTTGCCCAGAAGGACAGTTCTCTATTAACCTTTTGTCAACTGGTTTTAAAGTTTCACCATTGACTGTATGGGTTGGTATTGGAGCTCATGCACCACCTAAAATTGAAAAGTTACAAGTAGGTTTTATACTTAATTTGTATTTAATAGTAGATAGGTGATTAAATTTATATATATATATATATATATATATATATATATATATATAAAATGTATTGTATAGTATAAGGATCAATATACTTTTTTTCACCTCAACTCATGAACAGTACATTTAAGAAAAAATGTTACTTTTAAGAAATCGAAGAATGTTAAATTTTTTAACAACTTGATGCCACAAATTAATAATTTAGATAAGTGGTATGGTAGAAAACCATGGTCTATAAACTATGATTTTTATAATTTTGTATTGTCTATTAGTACCATTTCGAAATGAACTTTATCAGCCCTTAGAATTTACTTAAAAAGATTCTTTTTTCATTACACGTAACAATTTATTTCTTGATATAATAAAGTGCAGAATTCTAAAACCATCAAATCTAATTTCTAATCTCTGAGGATAATAGCCACACGGTGATAGAAATCATGACATAAATTTTATTTTAAAAAAATAATTAAAATTGTCACATATTTGATCTTCATAGCTTAGATTACCAAAGTTAGAGAATTTTGTTGATACTTCCCACAATGTGGTTGAAAGTCGCTGCTGTTTTAAGGGAATAGAATGGTCATATTTCAATGGTACTGTTCAGCAGTGAAAGATAAGATGTCATCCATCTCCCAACTGCTTCATCTCATTCCCTATGTGAGGAGTCCTACATTTGACGGTATAATGGTTCTAAGATATTTTACTATGTCATTAAAGAGTTTTGGTAATAACAGTCACCTGTTAGACCTCAGGGGCTAGCTGAAGTGCACAGCTAGTGGGGCCTAACGCACCCCTGGGTTCCCGAGTTCAGTACACAGTACAAGTACAGTATACAACTCACTCACACTGACACAAGGTCATTTACACTAAACCTCCTAGGGTCACCTTTCCTGGGAAGACAGGATACTCTGAGGAGGAAACACCTCCCTCTGACTCAGAGGCTGTTGGGCTGATAACTCTCACCTCTTAAATTAAAATTATCACAAAACCTCAAAAAACATCAGCCTGACTGTCAAAAAGGAAAAGAAATAGCTCTCGTCATATGAACTTCACTATTGGATCATGGAACGTTTTATCATTATATAGACCCGGAGCACTGAAACTGCTCTTAGACGAAATTAACATATATAAAATCAACATAACTGACCTCCAAGAAATTCAATGGACTGAACAAGGTGTAATAAAAAAAAAAATCACACCATATATTATAGCTGTGATGATAAGATCCACATAAGTGGATTTGTTGTGGCAAGAAGATTTAGACAACTTATAATTGACTTCAAACCTGTGAACTCACGAATATGCATTCTCAGAGTTAGAGAAAAATTCTTTAATTATTCAGTCTTCAGCTGCCATGCCCCCACTGAAGCATCAGATGAACAAGACAAGGAGGATTTTTACGATCTGCTGGACAGAGCAGTTAGAGCATGCCCTCGATCTGACATAAAAATAATCGCAGGCTATTTTAACTCTAAAGTTAGTAAGGAAACATTCTATATACCTACCATTGGAAGGCATAATCTTCATGAACCCTGTAATGAAAATGGCCAAAGACGATGAACCAAATCGATCATTTCTTGATCAGTGGTAGACATAAATACAACCTTCTAGAAGTTAGACCATATCAAGGTGCCAACATGGACACAGATCATTTCCTAACTATCGCACGAGCGAGAGCCAGAATCTTGACTGTTAAGATAACACGATGTCAGAGACCCAAGAATTTTAACTTCTCAAAACTTGAAGATCCTCAGGAACGCATGAAATTTGTCCAACAAATTAACGAAAATTTGGCGAACAGACCACATTCATTGGACACGGATGTTGATGAGATATGGTCAACAATTAAGACAATAGTATATCAGGAAGCTGAAAAAACTCTAGGTTTTAAACAGTTCGAGAGAAGATCTCCATGGTTTGATGAAGAATGTCAATTAGCCGATGATCCAAAAAATGAAGCATACAAAAGTATAATTGAAAAAAGAAATATGCGAACCTCGGTAGATACATACAGCCCTGCATTGTAAGATTATAAGAGATAAACAGTTTGAAGCCACACAAGCTAATGATAATTGTAATGTTGCCATGGGATACATATCACATATCGTTAACTAGGTTCCGTTGAGTGAGAAAGGAGATGTTTATCTTTATATTTCTCATTATTTTTCTCATTATCTCATATATATTATTTCTCAAAGGTGTTTTTTTGTCGATATGCCATCTATTCATTAATTCTTCATAAAACGTTATGATTGAACCATCATTTTGTAGATTTCCTTCTCCTAAAATAGTCACATCCCCACGAAATTCAAGGAAAAATGTTATGAAAGAAAATAAATTTTATTTGAAAATAACTCAAAAACTATTTATTTTATTTTGTACTGCACCGTTGATTATTTGAAGTATTAAAACTACAAAAAAAAATCATCAAAATTGGACAATTATTTTTAAAGATACAGCTTACTGTAACTTGTAAACATAAATGTAATATAATGCAAAATGAAATGTTTGTTTAAAATCTGAATGGTTTCAAAATAATTTTCTTTTCCTTGGTCAATTACAATTACTGAATAAAAGAGAATAGATTCCTTCATCTTATGATATCATTACATTATCTTATATTATCATTTGCTCACCAATGTACTATGCGAATTATTCACACAGGCAATCTAGTATAATACTTATTACTAAAATGATCGAGCTAATAATAGTCATATCATCATTTTCCATTGTAATAAATTTAAAATCAAAGATACACTTCAAATTCTTAAAATATAATAAAAATAATACAAAAAAACATCAATTTTTAGAAGTTGGGCATTAGTATGTAGTTTATTGGTACATAATAGTTAACATTTTATTAATGTAGAGACTTGACCTAATCTTATGATGGAACTTAAATTACTAGACTAAATGGGGCATATTAATTAAATAAACAAAACTCACCCATGGCATGTATTATTGTCTTTTGAAATATAAATGACAACTATTAAATTGAAGTTTAACGTTTTGATTAAACAATGTTTAACCTTAAATATTTAATATGTGAGCAGTTGTCTACTGCGATGAGTGATTTCAACAAAAAGTACGTGCAATAATGGTTGGGGGTAAAAATAAAGGGCATTTACTACCATCAAAATTCTACATTAAAGTTTAAATAAAAATTTAACTAAATTCAATGTCTTGGATAATAAACAATTGAACCCATAACAGAAAATACTAATAGCATAAATTGTTTCAGGATAATCAAAAGATCATTGGAAGATGTGGAGGCTGCTGTGGTTTCTGTAAACCAAAGGATGGGCTGAGATTAGATTTACTACCTCCTTAGCAAATCAGAGATGTCTAGTTAGATAAGAAACAATTAGAGCCCCATGCTGTCTGTGGGCCTCAGTACCCTTATGCCCCAGCGCCCCAAATGGGTCATGACAAATCTATTATTGAAGTTGTCTCAGAAGAAGTCACATCAGTATTATTATATATATGTATACATGTATATACATGCATATTAAGTTCGTATCGAAAGAACTTGCAAATCGTGCACTAATTATTTATATAGATGTGTGTATATGTTTGTGTTTATGCCGAAGTGTAATTTTCTTTTTAAATTAATTTTAAAAAACAAAAAAAAGTGTAAAAATCGCCAATAATTGTTTATATGCACTAATATATGAACATTGAAAGACTTTTAACTGTTTTTGAGTAGTTTCATTAGAAATATTTAAGTGACTCTTGCTAAAGAAACTACGAGGAACACTTCAGCTTTAATATAATTATTAAGTATTTCAAGTACAATAGATTATAATTTAAGAATGGTAGGTAATTCACTTTAATAGAAAAATAAAATGTGCCAATTGAACTTAAGAGACTTTTTGTATAAAGTTACCACAGATCTGATACACGTATACTATTATATAAATTGTCATCATCAATACTAAGCAAGCTCTTTTATGAATTGCTCAATTTAATTCTTTTTGTAATATTATTATTACTTTTACTAACAGTAATAGGAAATTTGGTTATTTTATTCAATTAATGATGTCTGAGATAAACTTTTGAAAGTTTTTCACCAATAGATTTATGAAAATATCCCAATTTCATAAATACGGTGGGTAAGTTATTTTAACTTACTTAATCCTTCAGTACATGCAATGTGATATATAATTTTAGCACACACAATGATCTGCGAGTTCATTGATTTTGAGCTGATTTTTAAAATAATTTTATTAAGGCCTTTTTAGACTGATTTTATAATATGTAAATTATTTAAGACGTGAAGAAGTGTTTAGTAAGATAATTATGATTAAAATTATTTTTTATTAAACCAAATTAAATTTTATCAACCATATTTTTTTTTTTTTTTAATTGTAGTTGAATTTATATCTTTACTTTTTAATAACTTTGCATAAACGTGCATTGTTTAATCTTAAATGATTTTTACAAATTTGACACTCGATTTCTTGTTTAACCTTTTTCAAGCATTCATGAACTTTTTATTACACATGGTAAGTTCATAAGTAAAATTTGTATTCCATTTTAGATATTTTTTCTATAATTTATTTTCTAATTTTCAAATCTTTTTTTCTGTAATATTTCTCATTGAATTAATCAACAATCATGTTCAGAATAACCTGAATTGCTTTTGTTTAAAGATTTTTTGGATTTATAATCATTCCTGTTGCTTTAAATCACAATGAAGATATGTTCATAATCACTTGTATTTTGGAAGTTATAAACCAATAAAAGAATAATAAATAATAATAAAAGAATTTCTAAACATATCCAATTTAGTAGATCACTTCCATAAAAAAATAACTGAACTAAGTGGTCTGAAAATGAAATAGTAAATTGTGATACCAAGGAAGAAGAACTATTTAGGCTTTCAGCCAGCAAATGTAATTATTAAACTACAAGGCTTTAATGTGAAGATATTTCTTTCAAATTGGTCCCATGTACTGAAGGGTTAAAATAAGCTGTCATTTGTGATTCAATGGCAATCTGTTATGATTTTTTAATTTAATATTATTTTACTGTAGAACAACTATTGTAGTAAATATGAGAGAAAATAATAATAGAATAAGTGATTCAAGGACAAACAAGGCAATTTTTGAAAATAAATTACTTCTAATAAGCATAGCTCATTGTTACTAAATTTCTACTCATACATAATAATGCAGACTAAAGTTTTATGTAATTTTAAATTTTAGTCATATTTAAAATAACAATAGCTCAGTTACGTTATTCTAAAGTAAACTTATTTTCTTTTAAATTTCTACAGTAAAGAAGTATAATATATTTTTATTGAATATTATGAATTATTGTCATATGAAATAATAATAATGAAGATAAAGTAAAAGAAAAGTACTGATCTGCATTGAAAGATTTTATTGTTACATATTGCACCTATCTATCCAAAAACGTCTTCCATTAAAATTAAATACTCTCTCAATCATAATGTAGATATTGCTAGTAAATTAATTTATTTAATCACCAATTATGATTTAGAGATTAATCTGAATTTAACATTCTTAAATTGATTGTTTTTAGCAAAATTAATTTAATTAGGAATGGAAGATATTGCTTATGATCTCAGTATGGTCACATCAAAGTATATTATAATATGTTATACCATATTAGTGCGTGTTAAATTTGTAAAAATGTATATTTATTATTTATGTATTTGTAACGATTAAATTGTGCACTTTCAGTTAGCTATGTTAACTTGTATTTATGCCCACACTGCCAGTCTCTTGAGTACTTAGTATATAAATAATAATTTGTACAGATTTTGTAATTTTTTAAAATTAAAAATGTAAATTATTATATGTTGTATTTTTATTTATATATATATATGTAAATTTTTCCATGCATAAATGTATTTAACTAACTTAACTTATAAATGTAGTTAAATAATTACACAAAAACGAATATAAATGCTTTTTTTTATTGATTGTTTTTTTTTTATTTAAAAAATTTAATTATTGTGTATACCCTAACGTTTTGTTAAATTACTTAGTTTAATTTTTTTTTAAATTAATTTAATCACACTAGAAAAAAAAAAAAAGAAGTAAAGGAGTATATTTTGGTTAAATGATGATCTGATTTTAAATTTATTCTTGTTTCATCAGTATTTCTATGCTAAAATTGACTTCTTATATTTATAGCAATAAATCATCATAATTTGAAAATTTTTAAATGCCTATTTTTATTAATTCAAAACTTTCTCACATTTTTAAACTATCATTTTTAAGCTATGCATTATATTCATGCAAGATATTTGACTATAATTTAAATATTTGATGCTAATTTTTGTTATTCACAGGAATAATAGGGAATAAATCCTTTTGTATTGCGATTGAGTAAAATTTCCGATATGCAGTTTTCAACGGATCTATACGTTTCAGAGCCCTCTGAGTCCAAAAAAACATGTTTTTAGCCAAAATTTTCTCAAGAACTAGTGGACCGATTTTGTTGCTTCTTTTTTTATTTTGTAGGGTTTTGAGTACGGATGTCTGTGACACAAATTGAGTGCTCCATGCACAATAAATGAAAAACATGTTTTTCTATAGACTGTAGCGCGAAAACGGTTCTAAAGATTTTGGTGAAATTTTCCTATAATGTTCTAATAACTGTCCTTTCAATTTTTGTATATGGATTAAATTCCCGAAAAAATTCAGGAAAAAAAGTTATAAATAAAATAAAAATGTTTTGGATTAACCTTCTCTAACTCGCTAAGTATATATTCTATGCTAAAATTTATAATAAAACTTTTGAAAGATAATAAAGCAAAAAAAAAATCATCGATATCGAACCAGTATTAGCCATGGTACAGCGTATTCTATTTTCTACACATGTTTTAATTTATTACTTTCCTACCTATATTAGGTAAGGAAAGTATTGCGATAAGGTCAAATTTCTGATAAGCAGTTTTCGATGGATCTATACGTTTTAGAGTTCCCTTGGTCCAAAAAAACACTGTTTAGCCTCTTTTTTTGAATGGTAATGAAACTACCTACAAAACTATATAAAAATCATTCATTTCAGACAACTTTTACTTAAGTTATAGCTATTCAATTTCCAATGTAAGATTATGAGTACATATCCTGGTGTCAGAAAGGGATAAATGAGTGAAAAATGGTAACTTAGAGAAAGTAAGAAAATCTGTGGCCTGCATCACACAAGCTTCACTATTACCTCTACTTTTAACAGAAATTAGGCTATGACAAAAAGTTTTTGATCAGCAATATTAGAGGGCATTGAAATGTTTACACTGATCTATCTTAAGCCGGTTTACATTGCTTTAGTTTATCAAATAAATTGTACTCAAATCTTTTCTTTGATCAATTTTCAGGATAATAAATCTAATTCAATTATTTCTGTTTTTTGATGGACATATATAAAGAAACGTGTACCAGATTTTTTCTTTTTAGAATTACTTATTTGATTTTTTTCCAAAATACTTTCCCAAAATAATAATTCAAACTGTTTTAAAAAATAAATAAATAACTTAGTGCGTTATAATTTATTGAAAATTATTATTTTCCTATCAGCTATAATAGATAAATAAATTTCAAGGACATATTAATCTGTCAAACTGGTCAAATATGATATAGCAGTCTTCAAAAGCTTCATAAAAGAAACACATTAAGGTAGGAAAATATGTTTTGTTTTAAATATAATCATGGAAGGTATTTTTTGATGTGTTAGCTTGAATGATTTTTCGTTTCTTTCTTTGGTTTAACTTCCTTGTGTACTGCATCATAATTAGGAAAGCTTAAATGATTAATTTTATTCATAACAAAGACAGAATGAGAAGTCTTTAATATAAGCTTAAAATTTGCTTATATGTTTAAATTTGTTGTAATTGATTTTTTAGCTCTAGTCATTTTGTCCACAAAAACATTTTCTATTCAATTTAAGTAAAAAGCACAGATCTATATACTTATAATATTATAAAAACTTTGAAAATAACACTTTTAACATCAGCTTCCCACTTGTTCTTCATTGTGAATCAAATTAATATATTTATTTTTCAGAAAATTCATGGAGTACTTATGAATTTTCTGATAAGGGTACCATTGCAGTTTGCTAATATGTTTAAATATTAAAAAATGAAAATAGATTAAAAATTAGCAAATAAATGGAATGCGAGACCAAATGATGGAAAATATATTTGAAATAAAAGAAATTAATAAACATAAATTTTATATCATCAGTTGAAGAATTAATAAATATGTTGATACCTCCCTTAAACAAGAAAAGTGTTATGATTTGGCGATTAAAGATGTATTTTTCCCATTATTAAACCTTCACCTTCTTCCAATATGTTTTTATATTAAGATTAGAATCAGCTATAGTTTTTTCTTGAGAACATGAAAATAAGCTGAATGAATATATATATAATAACCTGATTGAAATATATATATTCATAAATAAAGCATCAATTAGTTTACTAATAAAACTTATAAAACAATAAAGTTTAGGGAATTCAACAAAGTATTTAGAAAGCCAAATAAGTATTTAATTTTTTTTTTTAAATGCAAGAAATGACAGGTTCAAATATAGCCAGACATCTTCAGTTGTTATTTGTTGCTATAAGATAAAAAAAAGATAATGACTGATTCTTATTGACTGGGTGTTATTGACATAAGACAAAAGTACCTCTCCATTTTTTTTTTTTTTTTTTTTAACTTATTCATTTAACTATAATTATTAATTTTAATTTTACTATTTCAAACATATTTTATTTTTTAAAACTATATTTAAATTTACAGAAATACCAATGAATATAGATCAACAGTTGTATATAATAATTATCTTTAATACTAACAGTATGAATTTAAAAAAGTAATTTGAAAATATTTGTTGTTTATTAAGTATGAAAATGTATTATTTCGTATATATTATATGAATGTGATTATCAAATAAATTAGTTAATCTAGCCAATGGCATAATTAGGTAAGAAGTGTCCTAGAGCAGTGAAGCGCACACACACGCACGCAAGCACGCACTCACACACACACACACACACACACACACAATAATATAAAGTTCAATTTTTCCTTATGAGTCACTTAAAATGAAATAATACATAAAATAATTATAAATAAAATAAAACAGAAAACATATAATTAAAAAAAATATCTACAATTGTAATATAATACAAGGCATTGATATGTAATCTACCTTTCTAATAAGTGTTTAATAATTAATACATGTTGTAGTTTGCTATGCATGTTAAAAGAAAAAGGCGAATATAGAAAAACTCTAATATTTGTTCTAAATATTATATTGGCGCAGTCAGTAGGACAAAGATAAAATGAGTCAAGCGCATTTTGGAAATTTGTTCAATTTCAATCAATGTATCAATTAAAGTATTACAATTCTTATAAAAGTTTGAAATTATATGATTTTAGTTATAATATAAAGCTCCATTTTTCCTTCCAGACTTGCGAACATATTTTATGGATGTGAAATAAAACCCCAAACAATTTTTGAGGATAAAGTAATGCATAGAATATTTGATCAGACAAATCAGAGAGTAGATGTATGATTTTTAAAAGATTGAAAAAAACACAATGGCAAAATATAATATCAGTATGAAAAGTTATTGGGTTAGAGAAGGAACCAATCAATAAAAAGTTAATCATTGATATGGAGTGGAGGGTTGTATCAGGTTAAATCTTATGAATTTAATTTTTGAAGGATTGACAGTGGTATTTATCAGTGGTTTGCTAAGTATTTTTTTTATTTGTCTTGTATAAATGAAAATATTTCATTAGGAAATATCAGTTTTAAATATATATATATATATATATATATATATATATATATATATATATATATATATATATATATATATTTATATATGTATTTAACATATATTTTTTTATACATATATATTTATAAAATTACCTGTACCACTACAACCCATAAAGAGTCTGGGGTTCAGTACTATTTAGGGAAAGCACTGTTTCTAGGTCAACGGTTTTGCAAGGAGATGATTTGACCGAGATCACTCTCAACCGCCAGGTTTTCCCCCTTCATTAATTATTTAATTAAAGGTACCCACTTTATAGAGGCTGGGTGTGCCCCAGGAGAGACTCCCGACCCAGGGTCGCCCCACGGTCATTGAAACAGATAAATAAATTTTCTACCATGAGCCGGGGTTCGAACCTGGGACCTTTGCATTGGAAGCTCAGTGATATATTTATAAACTATATAAATATATATGTATAAATAACGTATATATTATACGTTTATTTTTTTCCAATTTAATTTGTTATAAATAAATTATTTACAATGTGCTGAAAATTACAAAGGCATAACCGGAAACCCATATGAATCTATTGGCGGATCTAAATTGAAATTAAATAGTTTATAACAGATTCATTACACATTAATAGTTCAACTTTTATTTTAATATACATTTATACTGTTATCTCATGAAATTGTATTGCATAGTATTTTCCATATCCATCTGAAACTCTCTCAATGGGAATTAAGCAATTTTAAAAGTAAAATTGTTCATTACTTCATTAACCAGCAAATTTTTGTTTTATTTTAAATATTACTTATTGATATTAAATAAATTAGTGAGAACTTGCTTGATCTCAGATTTAAGAGATCAAGCAAAAATATAACTAAGATAGCTAACTCGATTTTTTTTTTTTTTTTTTTGGAAAATTGACTTATGCCACTTTATATATATATATATATATATATATATATATATATATATATATATATATATATATATATATATATATATATATATACATAAAATGCCACACTTATGCCACTTTATATATATATATACATAAAATGCCACACTTATGCCACTTTATATATATATATACATAAAATGCCACACTTATGCCACTTTATATATATATATATACATAAAATGCCACACTTATGCCACTTTATATATATATATATATATACATAAAATGCCACACTTATGCCACATATATATATATATATATGTAATTTGTATTTTTGTGTTAACAGTTTTTATGCTTAAGAGCCATTGTCCCAGAATAAAGTTCTATGATAAATTTGAATGCAATTATCTCAAACGCGGAGTAGATATGCATTCAGACATAGTTTTAACCACATCTAGGCAAAAAGTATTTTAATTATTAGTTTAAAATACAGTATTTAAAATATCAATTTTTTTTTTTTTTTTGGATCCTCCCCATCCTCGCCTTTAAAGCTATACCGGATTTTCCTTGGGCCAAGGGGTTTGGGCAAAGATTTAAAAGACTCCCCTGGCACTGGGACGCGAACTCGTGAATATTTTTAAATCTGTTGTCTCATATATCAGGTTGCGGGGCAATGGCGGTGCTATGCACACACGTTAGCCCGTTCGGCCACCCCGCCCAATTATTTCCTGTTTTTAAAATACAGTGTTTAAACAATATAATGCAATTACAAAGGATTTAAATTTTTTTCAAAAAACATATTCAAATACAACATACCAAAATATTTTAATTACAAAAAACAAAATACCAAAAGTATTTTAATTACAAAATACCAAAAGTATTTTAATTAAAAAAAAAAAATTACCAAAAGTATTTTAATTACAAAAAAAAAAATACCAAAAGTATTTTAATTACAAAATACCAAATGTATTTTATATTTTAATTGGTCATGGCCGCTACTGCAGTTTAGTTTTCAATTCGCTCTGTGATTATGTGCTTATTAGTCAAAACTCTGTGTTAATAATTGATTAACAGTGACATTATAAACAGTTGAACATTTTTATGTTCACGGATAAAGAGATATGAATTTGGACGAGAAATCTTCATGTGAAGATTCAGAGGACGAGACACCATTTTCCGAGGTTAGCGAAACTGATTCGCAATATCTGAAAAGACGCTCGCTTCAAAAACGTCACAGAAACTCTGCCCCTGGGTCAGGTGGCAATTCGCCTAACAAGAAGAAAAATAAATCAGCAAAATCTAAACAGACAGCTGAACAAAATAAATCTAAACAGCCTGCCGAGCAAAATAAATCCCCACCCAGAACTAGAAGCAAATCAAACACCACAAAAACAGCTCCAACTGCACCAAATACCACAGCCAGCAATAATTTTGATCTTGGTAGTAACTCACCTAACAAGCCTCCAGTACCTCAAGGTTTTACTGAACCCGAGCCGCCCCCTATTTTTGTCTCTAAAATTGAAAATTTTATATCATTCGTTCAAGAAATTGCCAATCTTATCGGACAAACCAGTTTCTGCTGTTTTTCTAGGGTTAATGACATTAAGATTAACACGAGCTCTAAAGAAAATTATAAAACTCTGATAAATTATTTTACAACTAAAAAATATGAATTTCACTGTTACCAACTGAGACAAGAAAAGGCATATCGGGTGGTATTGAGAGGCTTGCACTCAACCACTCCCATATCCGTTATCAAATCTGATCTGGAGGAAATAGGACATAGCGTTAGGCATATAGCACGCGTCCTACATCCAACGCAAAAATATCCATTGCCACTGTTTTTCGTTGATTTGGAGCCTGCAAGCAATAACATTGACATATTTCAAGTTAAGAGGCTTGTGTATTCCACAGTAAAATTCGAAGAGCCTAGACAAAAACCTGTCATAGTTCAATGCTCCAAGTGTCAAGACTTGGGGCACACAAAGACCTATTGCCATCATCAAGCGAGGTGCGTTAGATGTGCCGGGCCACACGCATCTAACACTTGTCAGATCCCTCGAGACCAGCCTCCTAAATGTGCTCTCTGTGGCGAAGACCATCCTGCAAGCTATAAAGGATGCATAGTATATAAAAAATACTACAAGTTAAGAACTCATAACATAGCCTTAAAGTGCAGCCAACTAAATAAAGAAACTTACACCCAGCCACCAGAAATTGATATTACAAATTTTCCTGAGTTGCCAAAACAAACTACCCATTCAACACAACAAGAACCAACTACTTCAACTGAAATCGTCCATCCTCAACAGGAATCTACCAAAACTAGTACCCATACCACCATCAAGAAGCAACAGCCTCGACGCCAGGTGCCTCAGGCCTCCCAAGCAAAACCTCATACTCCCAATCCTCTCATATTTCATCCTCCGCGTCAGCAAATTCCCCCTCATCATCTACCTTTACGAGTCAAATTACCGCCACAGCAATCGCACCCATCTCATCCTAATGCCCAGAAAAAAAACCCAGCACAAGTATCGTCGAATCCAATCCCACCTCGTACACAACAACGAATCCCACTCTCAGTTAACACTCCTTACCCGCCACCTGAACCTATCCTAAATCCACTTCACAATCAACATCCATCTGATCTAACTTCCATTCTATCATCCTTCCTATTGGACCTCCAAAACACCATAAAACCTCTTATCACTCTACTAACCAGAATTCTGACCGAAATTCCGTTTAATTTCCCTCGATGAGCACAAAGCCCCTAACTATCCTTTTATGGAACGCTAACGGACTACACAACCACCATGACGAACTTGTCATATTTCTTCATGACAATCACATTGATATAGCTCTACTGACTGAAACGCATTTCACAAAACAGACACATTTTCACATACGAGACTACATCACTTATAGATCTGACCATCCAGACAACACTGCCCACGCCGGTTCTTGCATCCTTATACATAAATCTTTACTCCATTCCCTTATTCCTTCCACTCCAACTGACGCCATTCAATCAACTTCTTTAATCCTTTCAACTCGCCCTTTCCATTTCACAGTCTCAGCTGTATACTGTCCTCCTGGTAATTCCCTCTCCTTTAATCTCCTTGATACGTTGTTCCAATCCCTCGGATCGCGCTTTATTGCTGGAGGAGATTACAATGCTAAACACCAACAGTGGGGTTGTCGAACATCCAACTCCCGTGGTAACATCCTTTCCCGTCTCTCATCTTCTAATAGTTATTCAATCCTCTCGCCCATGAGTCCTACTTATTGGCCAACATCCCTCAAAAAATGTCCCGATATCCTGGATATATTTATCACCTCCCAGATTTCCTCCTCCCAAACTATAATCAAATCCCTGGATGACCTTTCTTCAGACCATAGTCCGGTTCTGCTTTCATTACATTCTGACTTTACTCCTAAACCATCACCTCCCAAACTGATCACTGGACGAGTAAACTGGGACAAATTTCGTGATGATTTGGAAAACAAACTTGACCTCAAAATTCCGCTAAAGACAAAAGAAGACATTAATGGTGCCATAGAAAAACTGACATCAACAATAACAGACAGTATAAATAATAATACCTTTATCAATAAGATTAACAAACCACAAAATACTAACTTGCCACAGCATATTCGCATCTTATTAAAGGAAAAACGCAGAGTAAGATCGAAGTGGCATCGAACTAGATACCCGACAGATAAAGCGCATTACAACCAACTGACTAACAAACTGAAATCAGAAATAAGAAAATTCAAAATTTACTAAATTTTACTGAAAAACTTACACCTACCGATAAATCACTATGGACGACCACTAAAAGGCTCCTGAAATTTAAAGACTGCAACCATCCACTACTCACTGAAGCCCAAACCTGGTCCAAATCCGACGAAGAAAAATCCCAAATATTTGCCCACCACCTCTTTAAAACCTTTAATCCACATCCCGATATTCTTAACCCAAATCATCTTGAATGTATTGAAGCAGAACTGGATATCCCACTCCAAATGACTCCTCCTCCTAAAGCCTTTCATCCTTCAGAAATATCCAACATCATTCAAAGGTTACCTTCCCGCAAAGCTCCTGGACACGACCTAATTACATCCCAGATCCTAAAACTACTTCCTCGGAAAGCCATTCTATTCCTTACATATATATATAATGCTGTACTCCGATCAACATATTTTCCCGACCCTTGGAAACTATCCATTATCAAAATGATACATAAACCCAAAAAGCCACCAGAATACCCATCCTCTTACCGTCCTATCTCTCTTTTCCCATCATGGGTAAAGTCCTAGAAAAACTCATCCTAAAACGCCTGTACCCAATCCTAGATTCTAATCACATAATCCCAGATCACCAGTTTGGATTCCGCAGATCCCATTCCACTATCCAGCAATGCCATCGTGTGGTGGATGTTGTCTCCTCTGCATTAGAGCGCGGAATGTACTGCACGGGAGTCTTTCTCGATGTAGAACAGGCTTTTGATCGAGTCTGGCACCCGGGATTACTTTACAAACTCCGTAAATTCCTACATCCTACATACTTCCTCATTATCCGTTCCTATCTAACTGATAGATACTCAAAAGTCAATCACAATAATGCTTATTCATCCCTCTTTTCCCAGTCCGCTGGTGTTCCTCAAGGTAGTATCCTTGGTCCTATCCTTTACACAGTTTATACAGCTGACATACCAACCCATCCTAACACTGTTATTACCACGTATGCCGATGATACATGTGTCCTATCCGTTAATAACGACCCAACCATTGCATCCCAAACTCTTCAATCGCACATCACAAGCCTTGAAGAATGGTGTCAAAACTGGAGGATTAAAATAAATTCTAATAAATCCCATCAAATCACCTTTACCCTTCGACGTAAACCTATGACCTCATGTCCCACAGTATCCTTTAATAATACCCCACTTATCCCTGTTGAACAAATCCGATACCTTGGACTTCACTTGGACAAACGTCTAACTTGGAATCCTCATACCAGACTGAAACGACAAGAAACCGCTCGACGTTTCCGACTACTCCAACACTTACTAGACAAATGCTCTAAGCTTCCAGTAAATTACAAAAGTCTTAAATACATGACTACAATAAGACCTATTTGGACTTACGGAGTTGAGCTTTGGGGCTCCACTAAGCCATCGAATTCCTCTCGTATCCAATCCTTACAATCCAAAATCCTTCGGAAAATCCTTAATGCTCCTTACTTTGTTGTCACTAATAAAATAATCCATAATGACCTTAATGTTCCTTATGTTTCCGATTTGGCCCAATCCAGATACCAATCTTTCCATAATAAACTTCAGAGCCATCCGAATCCTCTCGTCTCTAACCTTGCTTCCTCTTCTATTCCTGATAACCCTCCGAGGCGTCTGAAAAGAAGATGGCCTCGAGATCTCTTATTGTAAATACATTTTGTTTTTAGAGTGCTACCAGTGGGTAGTTTCTCAACAAGTCATTTCATGTTTTTATTTTCTGTTATCAAATTTACTTAATGTATTTAATTTTTTAATACAGTTGTAAATATCATGTATAAATAAATAAAAAAAAAGTAATATTTTAATTACAAAAAACAAAATACCAAATGTATTTTATATTTTAATTACAAAAAACAAAATACCAAATGTATTTTATATTTTAATTACAAAAAACAAAATAACAAATGTATTTTATATTTTAATTACAAAAAACAAAATAACAAATGTATTTTATATGTTAATTAAAAAAAACAAAATACTTAGTGGTGGAAAATCAGCCTATATATAAAAAAGAGAATCAACTGTATTTGGTAATTTCTTTTGATTATTTAAAATACTTTTTTGTGTTTTAAATAGAAAATACAAGCAATCTATTTTATATTTTACTTCTTTTTTATTTTTTTTATTTATTGATGATATTTACAACTGTATTACAAGTAAAAATACATATTTTACTTCTTAAAATGCAAACTACATAAAATGTATTTTATTTTTTATTGTAAAATATTTTATTTGAAATAAAGCTCATGTCTGGGTTTAACAAACCCTTTATATAATCTAATTTTATATAATTTTAATTAATAATTAATCTTAAAGAAACTTAACTAAGATGGATTATTTATTTGTTAATTTTAATCACACTTACAAACAAATATTAAAATGTCATCATGATTAATAAAACTTTATTTTTTATTTTTCTGAAGGATGATAACTATTGCCTTATTGATTGTAATAGTATCACTACTCGCCTATGTTTACAATTGGGCAAATAATATAAATCAGACATGGAAGAGAAGAGGAGTAAAGCACCGAAAACCAGCTTTAATTTTTGGTAATGTAACGATTTTAGTACCACGTAAAGATCAAAAACATTTATCAGTTCTGTGTGCAGATATATGTAGAGAATTTCCAGATGAACCATTAGTTGGGTAAGTTAATTTTTTAGCCTCATATTCTTACCTGGTTGTACCACATGAAATTTTAATTAATATGTTATTTATAATATTATTCATATAGCGAGTAATATGAAATATAATAATTTTAGCTCAAAGATCTATAGTCTAGTCCAATTGTTGAAAAAATTAGTTTAGTTATGATTTTTTAATATGTTGTCTGGATTTGTACAATGTTGAGAAATCTATTCCTTCCAACACTGGCATTTTGATAAAAGTGCTATTTTTCCAATTCTCCAAATATTTTTTAAGAGTGTAATTATGAAAAAAAAAAATGTGTCATTTAACTTAAAAAAAAAAAAAAAGGTTTTTGAAAATAAAGTATTGCGTAGAATATTCGGACCGAAGAAAGATGTGTTTACCGGAGAGTTCAGAAGGTTGCACAATGCTGAGTTGCGTGAACTGTATCCAGTTAATCTCAATATAATTGCGGTGATTACATTGCGCAGAATCAAATGAGCTTGTAAAATAGTTGGGCTTAGTAACGAAAGAATCCCTAAGAGATTGATATTTGCTCCACCAAGGTGAAGCAAAGGTGGGAAGATTGGGTTAAAGCCGATCTGAAAGGAATGAGTTTAGAGGGCGAACAGTGGAGGGAGGTCTGAATAAGTGATTGGTGGTGTCGGCATTGAATCTCCGGGTTCGCTAAGCCTTTTATTATTATTATTTATCTTTTTTACTGTTTTAAAATATCTAATTTTTCAAACTGATACAAAACTAGTTGCTCTAGTACATCCTGAGATAGAGTTGTATGAATAATAAGATCTTTACAAAAAAATATGAAAATTCAAATTTTCTGTTGGTTATTATTATGTAACAACTACAGAGTGAATTCTAATATAAGGTTTGACATAGTAACATTTGTAATAGAATAGACAGAAATAAATGAAATTTAAGAAAAAACTAAACATTGTTTTTAAAAATATATAGTTTCATTTTGTTGTTAATCTACTAAAGGTTTTTCCCCTTCTAATGTAATGCAATAGACATTCTGGTCAGAAGTAATCTTTTTTTTTTTTTTTTTGTATAACTGTTAGAGAACTTCGTTCCAGATTAAAGTTGTTGTCAATTCTATTCTATTCTACGTCTAAGGTTCTCCAACACTTGTGTTGCACAGAACAGAAAATAAATAGTCATACTTACAAGATTGAGAATTAACCAAGGGCCAACAAATTGCAGCTTGACTAATTAAAGTTAATAAAAATGATAAATGCTCAAAATGCAACTCCATCGAGGACTAATTACTTATCCGTTTCACGATATGTAGAATAACAAATTCAAATTTAATTTTGCATATTTTGGCCTTAATTGCATGTTTTTAGTTTGTTTTTTTGCATGACATTGCATATTTTATAATTTAAGAGCTAAATTTCAATTTTGGCAGTATGAAGTAAAATACTTGAACCAACTTTCCTCTATAACACGTACATAGGTATGTATGTAAATATTTACGTACATTTATTGTATATTATATTAGGTTTGTAGTAAAGAACAGTGGTGTCCAACCAACCCATGGACGGCGTAAGGCCGGAAATAGGTTTTAAACTTTGTTCTCAATTTTTTCATTTGGAGATAAACTGTAAAAATAAAAATAAAAAAAATAAAAGTTTTTCTCAAAATAGTAGCATTTTAAGTGGCAGGAGAAATTAGAAAACTTTTAACATTATATACACCTAGACAAAATATAAAAAAATCACAACTATCTTAATTTTCTTTTTTATTCCTAGAATTAGTGTCTTGAGGTTTTATTTTTTATAAATTAGGCCGTTTTCCACCAACATTTTATTATTAAAATAAATAATTAATAAAATGTTGGTGGAAAACGGCCTAATTTATAAAAAATAAAAATATCTTAATTTTCGTAACAGGTTTTGGGATAACTTGACTGGCCTAATATCTCCAATTTCTTCTTTATTTTCACAAAAAAAGCTGCTTCTGTACTTCTTTCTGACTTAAAAGGTGTAGCAATAATTTTTAGTTCTTGAATATTCCAACTATTATTATTCCTATGAAATAAAGGAGGTGATTTATGATTCATGAATAACTATTTTCATATAATAATTTTTGAGCTTCATAAAAACACAAAGTTTATTGCTCATAATTAATGTTTTACAAACTGAATTTGAAAAGAAAAATAATAATAAAATATTTCACTCGAAATAAATATTTAAACAATATCCGTGAAAATACTTTAATGGATGGGATAATCTTAAAGAATGCTTATTGAACATTGTTGAGTCCTTTAGCATGAAAAAAGATAAGTGGCAAGAAAAAGCATATTAAATGTGGAATGACACCATTAGACAAATGGTGAAAAGGAAAAAGCAAGTATGGAAAGCACAAAAACTCAGCTAACTTATATAACAAACAACTTAAATGGTTTGGACAAGTCTGTCGAATGGAATTAATGAGAGAACCCAAGATGACAATGGAAGCTATATCTAAAGAGTTGTGCTTCGGAACTAGTACCAAATCAAGGCCCCCTTTACGCTAATAATAGCTTAAAGAGAGAGAGAAATAAAAAGTTATTTCCTCCAGATAACTTATAAATAATTATTGAAATAATTAAAATAGGTAATTACTGGAATTATTAGTGAAAACAAAACCCTTGGATATGCAGATGATATAGCAATTCTCTTCAGAAGAAAAAATCTTGAAAGCAACCAAGAGAACATTGACAAACTCACCAAGACTCTGATAAGAGAAGCAGTGCTAAATTGTCCTAAAAATAAATGAAGATAAAACAAAATATATTATAATAAGCCAAAAATTCTACTCTGATAATATAAGAGGAAAATCGTTCACAAGAGTAGAAAATTCAAATACTTCAGTTCCGCAATAACCTCAATAAATGATCAATAGTCAAAAATATAATAACATATAACAAATAGACCTTTCTTTTCTCTTTCAAATTAAGGTGTACAATGCTGTTTATAAATATAAAGCAAGTTCTGATATAGGAGCTGCACACTATCCAGCACCCAAGAAAGAAGCATTGAAAGATTTGATAGGGAAATCCTCTACATGATAACCGGAGCGATCTGAGATCAGAGTACTAATGCATGGAGGAGAAAGACCAATAAAGAGCTGCTTACAGAAACTGATCAATCAATATCTCATGATATGAAGGCAAGGAGGTTAAGATGGGTGGGGCATGTAGTGTGGAGCAATCCATCTGGAAGCCTCAACACAACAATGAATGCCTCAATAGTAGATAAAAGATCACATAGAAGGCCAAAAATCAGATGGATAACCAAATTAACAAAGATGCAATAGAGCTACAAGCAGACAACTGGAAAGAAATAGGTAGAAATGGAGAAGGCTCGTTAAGGTGGCAAAAATCTGTAATGCAAAAAAGATCACACACAGAAAACACCAACAGAAAAATAAATACTGTAAACAAGGAAATATTGTGTATCTTTTAGTGTAACAGAAATCATACTTCGGTTCACTTTTACAATACGGTTTTTCTATTTATCCAAATACCATTTTCCTGGCTATAATATAAATAACTTGTATGATTTATATTTATAGGTTTTATGATTTTACTCAACCATGGCTATTGTTGCAAGATGCAGAATACATTGAAAAAGTGCTTATTAAAGATTTTGTTCATTTTACTGACCATGGCTTTGCGATAAATGAAGAAAAGAATCCTATTGATGCTCAACTTTTCAATATGGTTGGAAAACGTTGGAGAGCATTCAGGTATACATTTTTTTTATTCACATGCAAAACTTAACTTTTAATTATATATCACATGTAGTTTCCAAAATAAAATCATAAAGTATTTAAACCATTTCATTTATAGAAAACTTAATTATAAATTGATTAAATTTATAACTATGGATTGAAGTTGTTAATTTAATTTTTCCAGATATAAACTTAGCCCAATCTTTACATCTGGCAAACTGAAAAGCATGTATGAACCGATGTCAGATTGTGGAGTTGATCTAGACAATGTATTAAAAACATCTAATAAAGAGGGACTTGACTTTAAACAGCTAATGACTCATTTTGCTGTAGATGTTGTTGGGTATGTTTATATCTTTTTAATTGTAAATAAATTCTTTCTTAGCAACATTTTTTTAAATGCTTAATGCTAATAAAACAATAATCTTATTAATAAAAAAAAATAGTAATATATAAATACTTCATATTTATAAATTCACACAGCTTGGTTTTAAATAATAATACCAAAGTTCTGAACAAATAGTTCAGATGAAATAGTTAACATTGTACTAGTTTACATTTAATAAAGTTTATCATGAAGCATTGAAGATGAAACATTGTTTATAAATTTAAGGTTAAAGGTTTCTTTTGAAAACAGTGGTGCAGATCAGACAGTATTAGAAAAAGGAGAATATGTTCACTAAAACCCTTAAACAGATAGAATGAAGTGTTTAATGTATTTCTCACAGAAAGACCTGTTGTAAGTGAAACTAACTAATAAATAAGTTATCGGCCACCATTTTAAGTGCTATTTCAATAAAAAAGAAACAACTCTTAGATGCAGAATTTTATTTATTTATTCTTATTTAATTTCTTATAATTGACGAATTGGACATGATGAGTTTTCCCATGGAAACCTCCCATGAGAATTAGAAGTGCCAACTTGCACCCATTGCTGAGTAACCAGAACATACTTTAAGAGTGTAGTAACTATACTGCTCAAAGGGAAAATCTATGAATGGGAACGAAAATAGAAGAAGAAATTCTCTAGATAGACAGAAGAAATAATTCGGAAAGATAAGGTCAAAAACACTCTATTATAGAATAGTATATTTTATTACATTGGCAAACATTTTGACCTATGTTGTTGTTGTTCTTCATTCTGTCTCGCATTCTTGAAGGTAATAAGGCGACTGATCTACCAAGGTACCAAGTACGTACCAAGGTGTCGCCTTACTAACTTCAACAATGTCAGACATTGTTTGCCCTGAAGAAGACCTACAATGTAGGTCGAAATGTTGGACAATGTAATAAAATATACTGCTACATAATATAGTATTTTTTTTACCGCATCAAACAGAAAAACTGTTTAAATATTTAAAAGATATATAGACTTTCAAAGAATATAAAATTAAGATAATATGCCAAATGACCCTTAGGAATAGAGGAAAAATAAATAAATAAGTAGCTGCACTTTAGCAAGACTTATTAACCTGCTCTGCCCATCCTGATCCATTAATATGACATATATTATATTAGTAATGCTCAAACAAACTCTCCTAACAATATTTCATGATTTTAATTGATATATATCTGAATGGATTCTTAAAGAAGTATATTTACAAGTAACTTTATTACTGTTTATGTTACAGATCTTCCGTGTTTGGTATTCATCCCAAAGCTATACAAAACCCAAATACTAAATTTTGCTCACTAGCTACCGATCTTTTTACTTTTGGTTTTTTTGATACAATTAAATTTCTTATAATGTTCATTTTTCCAAAACTTTCAATAAAATTAGGAATTTCATTTAACAATCAAAATGCAGTGAATTATTACAGTAAAATACTGAAAGAAACCTTTGAGTACAGAACGAAAAATAAAGTTGAGAGGAATGATTTTGTACAACTTTTATTGACTCTGAAGGAAAAAAAGAAAATTGATGTACAGAATTGGGATTCCAACGATGATTACTTAAAAGATGGGGAAGCACCTGCTGAATTGGAAAGTTATGGTATGGTACTGTATTATCATTTTGAAGCATTTTCAGTTGCCTTATAAAATAAATTTTCAGTTGTTCAGTGGTCTTGAACAATTCTCTAACATGTTTTTCATAAAATTTCAAGTAAAAAATTTATTTATAAAACTTTAATTTGGAAGGAAAATATTCCAGTTCCAGTTTATAGCGGATTTGGGGAAACTTTATTCAAACAATGTAATTAAAAAAACAATAATGCTTTTAGGTTAATTTTTTTTTCTTCCTTAAAACCGCAATTTTACAACTCAAATGGCATTTGGCTTTTCAAATAAATCTTCAATCTCTTAGTTCGTGTGTTTCCTCCAGGTTCCATCCTCCAACACTCTTCCTAATATCCTGTTTTTTTTAGTTTGGTTGGCAGAAAATGGGTTTCTTAATTTTAGCCCGTGCATGGTTGTCCTGGGTTATTAAGCCTAAATAAATAAATTTGGTTACTTATTAAAATCGGTAGCTCGCTGATGCCACCATCTCATTGCATCCAGGGGTCTCCTCTGTCACCATATATTTTAACAGCCAGCTGTGGTCGACGATGTCAACATCCTTCACATATGCCAGTAGTTGTGTATCCTGACTGAACATTGTTTACCTAACCTGTAAGCCTGAATTCCACATCAAAATCCTATTTAGTAGGGGCAAATTGCTTTATTGACAAAGAGAAAGAGATGTGTGAATAGGAGATTCACGAGGACTTTGGATCAAGAAGTCAGTAAGGATATGTCTCTGTAGTTAGTACATGATAGGCGATTACGGTTCTTGTGAATAGGGCAGACGATCAATTTTCCTTGTTAAGGGAATTACTTGATCCTCCCAAGCTGATATAAAAAGATCTTGAAATTCCTTGACCAGTCTAGAGCCTGAGTTTGGCTGGGAGTCCATCTCACCCTAGAGCCTTGTGGTTCTTCAGCCTATCCACGACTCCCTCAATCCTCACTGGGTGGTTTTAACTCGGCTTCTACATATCCCACCCACACCAGGAAGCGCTCTGTGGATGTCTTCAGGATTGACATTTGGATGTGAGTTAGCTAGGAGTTCTCTATAAAGTGTCTTCTGCATTCCTCTAGTGCTTCCAACTTTTCAATAAGAAGATTATCTTCTTTTTCCAGACAAGTATTCTGGCACCAGTTAAAGGCTTCCTAAGTTTATTTATTCTCTCAATTCTTTGCTTCTGTGCTAAATTTCTATCCCTTTGGATCATCATTAACTTGTTAAGAGTTTCATTCATAATTAACCCCTAAAATTTACAAGGCCATTTCAACCTCTGCAATTACTTCAATTATGTTAATAACACGGGATATATTTCACAATTATACATCTTTTAAATCTGACAAATGATAAAGTATTCTAAATGATAAATTTTCATTTAATATCATAAATCAAAAATATTGTGGAATCATGGAACACATAAAGTTATTTCAATTTATGTTATGAGAGCTGCTGTGGATAAAATGGACATGCTTATATAAAGTTGCAAAGCTTAATTACAAAGGAATCTATAACAAGTTCGTTAGTACTGAGCCTATAGATATCCAAGGAATGGACCAAGAGTTAGGTAGGAGGTGTTACAACCAATCTTGTGAAATTGGTTGTTGAGGGATTAGTGGATGGAGATAAGTAGGCATCAAACAATTAAATTTTAGAAAATGTTATAATTAAATCTAATACTTAATAAATATTAAATTTAATATGATATTATAAGGAATGTAGTATATTATAATTATACAAATTTCTTGGAGAATCAATGGATCAATTTGTTTCAGAAATTACTGAAAATATTCTTATGGCACAGGCTTATGCATTCTTAGTGAATGGGATTGATGTACTTGCCTTATCCCAGGTATATGCACTATATGAATTGTCATTGGAGCCAGAAATCCAAGAAAAGGCTCAAAATGAAATTCGAGAACAGATGAAACTACATAATGGTATTACATATACTGCTCTGAAGAATATGACATATCTGGAAAAAGTTGTTAAAGGTAACATGCAATTAATATTAACATTGTGTATTAAAAGTACGACTTAACAAACCCAAAGTTCATAGAATATCATAGAATTAAGTTCATAAAGAATGCATATAAGATTGAGACAACACTTTTCATACAATAAAATAAGATTCAGATTTTAGCTAAAAACTTTAAATAAACAATGTGTCAAGAAGCAATCGTGGAGATTGGTCATATGGCCTAAGTCCACCGAAGCGAGACATGTACAGCTGCCAAATACAATACTGTAAAACCTCTCTCATCTGTACTTTATAAAAATGTATTTAAGCTAATAAAATGCTTTTTAAACTAGAGAGCATTTTTATTCAGAGGTGACAGAGTAAGAAAAAAAATTAAAAGATATTTCTTGGATAGAAATTTTAAAGCTGGAAACACTATTTTAAGTTAAAAGTGTAACATACTCAATGGTATGAGCCAGCTGCTGGTAGTCCATGATGTATATCTTTTTTTTTTTTTTTTTTTTTTTTTTTTTTTTTTGTTCTTCCCTACCTCGCCTTTTAGGCTATACGGGATTTTTCCGGGCCGGGGGGGCGAGGGCGGGGAATTTAAAATCCACTCCGGCACCGGGACGCGAACTCGTACTTTTTATATCATCTCAAATCTCTGTTATCCGGTTGCCAGGCAACTAGTGGTGTTGTGCACACGCTTTAGCCTATTCGGCCACCCCGCCCCCTGAACCATGATGTATATCCATCCCCATCACTTTTCTACAATATTAATTATAATAATTATTAATGCAAATGGATATCACAAAAATATGGGACTTTTTGCTATGCCTATTTGTTATAACCCATTTTTTACTACTTAATTAAATGGAAAATTCATGCAAGTAGCCAATTCTGGCCTACAACACCCAAAAAACAATTCTAGCCTACAGCTGACATAAAATAACATCTAAAAACATATTCCTACAACTCCTGCTGACACGGAACCAGTTGGAGATTTCCTCATATTAATGAGATTTTGCTATATGAATAAATATTAACAACTCAATACATAACAATTTGATGATGAATAGAAAATCCAGAGAAAAATCAGGGGATCATGCAAGGCCTCATACTTAATTAGACATCTGCCTGATCTAGAAAACTAGATCTTATCCGACAGCCACCATTGAAGAAAAAGAGCTGACAAAACACTTGGCCTCGATTTCTGAAGAATCAAGATGCTGATAGGGATTGGTATCATAAAATTATATTTTAGGACTTGTTTGACAAGAAATATATTTATATTGATTTGTATATATATATATATATATGTATATATATATATATATATATATATATATATATATATATTATATATATATATATATATATATATATATATAATATATATATATATATATATATATATATTTCAGAAATTTCTTCTGGTGGTACATCCTCATCAATATTCTCATTACCTGATTCATACGTCTGGGTGGTGTGCATGTTATTTGTTTCTACATTTAGCATTTCTTTAAAGTATTGGGCCCATCTCCCCTTGATTTTGTCATTAACAGTGAGAAGATTTCTGTTTTGGTCCTGACAGAATTCTGTCTGTTGGCTCAAGCCCTGTCATAGCCATTTAACGTCCTTTTAGAATTTCCTACTCTCTTGTGCTTGAAAAATTTCTTGCATCTCTTTGAGTTTATTCATTTCGTATGTTCTTTTCTCATCACGCATAACTCTTTTAGTCTTTCTTCTTTTTTCTGAGTATGCTTCATATGTAACACGTGTTTTCCTTTGGGTCATTTTCATCCGAGCTTCATTTCTTTCTTGTAGAGCCTTCTCACAATCGCTATCAAACCAAGTATTCCTTTTTTTAGTCTTTTCCCTTTCTCCCAATATCTCTCTTGCCACCTTCCTGATAGACTCTCTTAATTTTTTCCTCCTTTCCTCCGCATTTGTCTCTTCTCCAATCCATTCCTGGCACTGTCGTTTCTCTTTATACACTTGTCTTATGGGGTTCCTCCATCAACTTCTCGATTTCACAAGCATATGCTATTGCCCCCAATGTTTTCTTTCTACATACCAGATGTTGTTTATATTTCGCCACTACCAGGAAATAGTCAGAGTCAAAATTTGCTCCCCTGAAGCTACGTACATCCGAGATGTGAGAAAAGTGTCTCACATCTATCAATAAGTGATCCATCTGACTTCTAGTTCAATCTCCTGGACTTATCCATGTTTCCTTGTGAAATTGCTGAAATAATTCTTTCATTAAAAACAATAAGTCTCCAGGATTTGATGGAATACCGTCAGAATTGATAAAATACACAGGAGAAGACACCTGGAACAAGATGCAAAAGTTGATATGGGACATATGGTCAGAAAAAAAAATGTCAGATGAATGAGGAGAGGCTATTATAGTCCTATACATAAAAAGGGAGATAAACTCAAATGTGAAAACTACAGAGGAATAGAGCTCCTACCCACAGTTTATAAAATCCTTTCAGTGGCAATATGTCGAAGGCTAGTGAAGAGGAGTGAAAGACTACTGGGAGAGTATTAGAGTGGTTTTCGTCCAGGATGATCGCCTACTGACCGCCTTTTTTCTATCAGACAAATGTTGGAGAAAGCATATGAATATAATATAGATCTGCATCACCTATTCATTGACTTCAGGCAGGCGTATGACAGTGTGAACAGGATTAAGCTATTAGAAACCTTACAGTCACTGGGGATTCCTAGTAAACTAATAAGATTGACCAGAATGACTATAGAAAGGACAAACTGTATGATAAAAACCAGAGTGGGTATGTCAGATAGTTTCAAGATTAACAGTGGCTTAAGACAACGGGACCCATTATCTCCTGCACTATTCAATCTCGCTTTAGAGATTGCAATTCGGAAAATCAAGATGAGCCTGGGTGGTACCATCTGTAATAGGCTCACGCAACACATGGTATATGCTGGTGATGTTATATCACAGAGAACTAAAGCAGCACAAGCCGGCGCTATAGAAGAGTTTAAGCAAGCGGTTCAAGAGTTATGACTCATTATAAGTGTTGAAAGGATGAGGTATATGAAAACATCCTAAAATATCAGAGAGAGAGAGAGAGGAAATGCTGTTGAATTGGGAGAAGGCACGTTTCCAAATGTGATAAATTTAAGTACTTATGCGGAGTAGTGACAGACAACAATAATTTGGAAGCGGAAATTGCTGTTGCTGATGAATGCAGGAACTAGATGTTTCTATGCTCTGCAAAAGATGCTCCAATACAAAAGTCTGTCCAGGAAAGCAAAACTAGTAATATATAAAACGGTGATTAGACCAGTTGTTTTGTATGTCAGTGAGACGTGGATTATGACCAAGGATAACGGTACACGAACATACCCAAGGGTTTCAAAGTGTTGAAAATCCCTGACCTACATGACTGATCCCAGCTATCGGTTTTCTTTATAACCTCACTCCATGTTAACTGAGCGAAAGAAAAATACAAACAATTGGGATTATTAACCTGATATGTAATAAAAATACCTGATAAAGGTAAGGATTATCTAAATAACACCCAAGGATGTAAACAAAGTTCAACTTTTGTAACAGTATTTATGGTAGAACTAGGTACATATTGACTTGTCTAACAAGAAAAACGCACGTCAAGCCCTAATGGAACTTACTCTAAGAAAATCCAAAAAGTATAAGAGTGTGGCAATATGTCAGGAAAACTTAATTATTTTTAATAGATGGAGACACTTGGAACAGAGCAGTTGAGCAGCTTCAGCAGACAAGCAGTCTAAAACAGAGCACTAGAGAGTAACTAAGACTACTGAAGGCTATACTATATATAAAAATAAAACCTGTACCACTACAACCCATGAAGGGTCTTGGTTGCATTTAGTACTTAGTAAAGAAGTACTGTCACTAGGCCAAGAATAGTGCATGGAAGTGATTAGGCCCAGATCACACTTAACGGTGTTTTTCCCCTTATTTGATTAATTAATTAAGCTTAATCTCTTTACGGAGGCTCGCTGTGCGCTAGGATTGATTCATGACTGAGGAGACAGAAAAAATAATTACCAGCATCAGCATGACTCGATCCTGGGATGCTATCTATATATAGAAAATATATTTCATACATTAATACAGAAAATGCATTTTAATTGAATTGATTTCTATCGGAATCCATAAAATATAATAACAGTTTTTTTTTTTCCTTTTTTGGTCCAAGACTTCCATTGAAGTCCTATAGTGAATAGTAAGTTGATATTATTTCAAAGAAAAGTAGATAGCCAAATAAGTAGCATTTGATCCCTATAATTTTATTACAGAAACGTTAAGATTGCATCCAGCTGGAGGTACACTTTTTCGAACTTGCACTAAAGATTATGTCTTTCCAAATGGAACAGTTATAAAGGAAGGAGAAATGCTTGTAATTCCTATGAGTGCAGTTCATTTAAATCCAAATTATTATCCTGAGCCAGATGTTTTCAAGCCAGAAAGATTTGATTTGCCAATGAAACCAGGAACTTTTTTAACATTTGGAGATGGTCCCAGAGTATGCATAGGTATTTTTTTTAATTTTTAATTTTTATTAATTAACTATCATGGCTTCACCCAACTTTGATCTAAAATATATAAACAAATTTATGTAATCTTTTTAGGTAGTTCAACCATTAACTAGATTGGCCTAATATTAAACATTTACGGTTTTTTATGTGCATGTTTTTATTATAGTCAAGCTTAGTACCATATTATGTGAAGTTATCTTACTTGATATTTCCAAAACATCTCTTTAATTTACATCATAGTAATTTGGAATTGGTTATTATTATTGTTTTATTTACTAATTGTTCATGAGACAATGGGGTGATTCTGATTACATTTAAAAAAATAATAATAATACAAATCCAGTTTATTAGGCAGATGAAAGTCTTGCTTCTATTTTTTTTTATTAATATTTTTTAATCTTTGTAATAACATACATAAAAATGATAACAGACATTTAAAATATAAAATACTTCTGTTTCAGCAATGCGGTATGCGATTCTTTTGATCAAATATGGTATTGTAAAGGTTTTATCAAACTACAAAGTCAGATTAAATCCTAAAACTAAGCTTCCTTTGAAGTTTAAGCCAAATTCAGGATTCAGAACTCCAGAAAGCCCATTGTTATTTGATTTAGAGGCCATATAAATAATTGAAATAAATTATAAATTGAAAATAATTTTTATTGAAATCAAAACTTAACTAGCTGAGCTCTTAGAGGACTATATAGATTATTAAATTATTTATTATACCATTTGTAAAACATTTTCCATCAGAATATTTTTTAAAAACTAGAATGAAAGTTCTTTTAATCAACTTTGTCAGTAAATAAAGCAGTTTGAATAAAGTAAATCTTAAAACTGTTAAGCCTTATGTATAATTTTATAAACAATTAATTAGGTTTAGTTCAGTTAAGCAAATTATTTTTTTTACTAAAATTCGTGTGAGAATAAATTCTTTCAAATATTTGGAGATTTTCAGTATTTAGTATCTAAAAAACTCAAAAGAGAGATGATATTAGAAGAAACGGTATGCTGCCCAGAACATTAGAAATAATAATCTCTAGAAAGAAGTACTGTAACTTGAAGCTACATGGACCAAAACTGATAAAAAAGTTTTAAATTATACCTAGCTCTCTTCTAATGAAAATAGAGATATAAATCACAAGAGGATGTATTATGATTGTTTAAGTGTTTAGCTTAGACCACATAAACAGATATGAACTAATGAATAACATAATTATTTTTTCATTTTGGGGGTGCTTCATCCTAAGAAATGACCTTTTTACCTTGTACTATCGTCATTTCTATTTCATATTTATCATATTACAATTAAATTTTATAATTTTCAAATGTAACTGCGTTTTATAAAAATGTATTCTTGTTTTAGCAATGCGATATGCGATTCTCTTGATTAAATATGGCATAGTAAAGATTTTATCAAACTACAAAGTAACATTAAATACTAAAACTGAGCTTCCTATAAAACTTAAGCCAAATGCAGCAATTGGAACACCAACAAGTCCTTTACTGTTCGATTTAGAAGCAATAAATAAGGATTATTAACAAAAGTTAGTTGCAATGAGTCAAATTGTTGTTTTTTAAAACATTTTACAACAAAAGAGCTGTAATATTTTAATAGAAAATAATTAAAGATGATATGGTATATATTAAGTACTTTATAAATGTTCAGTTATCTTTTATTGCAATAAGTAGAAAACTATAAGTCTTATAGATAGTGAATATCACAGCTTTTTGTGATGACAAGAAATTTAATTAAAGGTATGTTAAACATATTATATATAGTCTGATTTTAAACCTTATGAAAAAATATATTAACTATCAAATAAGTTACATATAAAAAAACTTGAGATTCTTTTTTTTTTTTTCAAAAATAGTTCATCAGTACTGTTTTTTTTATCACTACAACTGGTCATCATTGTCCTCAATGAAGTTATAGAAGCAACTAAATGAAAACAAAGAAAGAAATTTCTTGAGGCCTCAAATCCCAAAAACCTGAGTTCGAAACTCTATATCAGAGGTCTCCAAACTATGGCCCGCAAAAGTTTATTTGATTATTTGGTAATATTTTAGAAACTATTCCAAAAATATGAAATTACTCACACAGAAGATTACTACAACGTTATTTGCATGATTTTTGTTCTCTTAGAAAGCCCATTTCACAAAATTTAATTTATTTTGTTGTTTCACTTATAGAACAAACTTTTGTTTTTCATCATAAGCCTTGGCCCATAGGATTTTGTTGGAGTTCTCAATGGCCTCAGGTACTCAGTGAAGGTCTCAATGTGGCCCACAGGACAAAAAGTTTGGAGACCCCTGCTCTATATGATAAAGACATGCATGAAAGGCTTACAGATTTTAATAAGTTTCTACTAAACATTTAAATATAGCAGCAAGAAAATATGTGCTGACTTAGAAAAAAAGAAAAGACTAAAATAATGAATATTTCTTGTATTTCATTCTTAAAAGAATCTTGACACTCTCACTATGGTTAGTAAGTAGTGTCAATTTCTAGATGTCCGTCAAGGATTGGCAAAAAGGACCACAGAGCCTTCTATGTATTCGGATGTCATGGAGTGATATGCTGTCTCCAAGTAATGTACTTTTTTAAGACTGGAGATCAGAGATGAGTTTAATTTTGTCAGCATGTATGTGATTTAGATTGTAATCTGTCATGATGCTTGTAATGCCAATCATCGAAAGGTTAGTTTGTTTTACCTGCATTTTAGAGACTCAAGGCAGTATGTTTGGATTTTCCAATTATGACCTAATATGATATGCAGAATTATTGGCAATGAAGAATAATTAATCATAGTTGATAGATAAAAATATATAAATATATTTATTAATTCTTAAACCAGTCAATCAATTTTTCCATATTATTAATTTCAAAGTGATGTGTTAAAATATTAAAATATATTCTGAATACATTGTAAAAAATGACTATAAGCATTAAGAAAACATATGGTGAATTGTTATAAAATAAATAACGAGCATGTTTTAAACCTATAAAAAAATCGTGATGCGATGTAATAGTATTTTCATTCTCATAATAATTTTATAGGCAGATCTATATTTTACAATAGTATTTTTACATAATTTATCTATGTATTTACAATTTCAATTTCTTTTCTAGTTAAAATTTCATGTCACTCTTGTTCTAGAGAGGTAAGAGAATTTATTTCGGACCTAAAAACAATAAAAGAATCATCAATATTCACACAGTCAAATTTTGATAAAATACTTCAAACACTAATATTTGCAACTTACAATGCTTCTGACAAATCAGAATTGAGTTCTTCCTCGTTATCATTTATTCCATCTTCAATTTGACAAAGAAAAGCATCATTTTCATAAGTAGGGAAATAAAACCTAAAAAATAATGATTCATTAAATTGTTTTATAAAAATATTACAGGATAAAATATTTAAAAAAAAAAAACATGATGCCATCATTTAAATCCTTTATGTAAACAGCACGTCTAAACGATGAAATCAATCTTGAAATAACATAAAAATTTACAAAAAAAAGTTTAAAACTTAACCATGAAACTTACAAGGAGAGATTTTAATTAACCGATATCAATCAGTATGAAAGAATATTCATCTAGAGGTAATCACAGTAAATATAACAGATGGATTTGAAATTAAATTTACTTACTCAGGTTGGTTCCATAAGTCTTTAGAAGGCATTATATTGTGGATCTGCGATATCATATGTTCAAGAGTCTCAACTCGATTAGAAAACTCATTATCACAATTAATACATCTATTCCTATACAGCTGACGACGGATAAAATTCACAAGTTTTACCTGTTCAAGTAAAATCAAGACAAACATTACTACTAAGTTGTAATGAAGATGAAGTTTACCAAAACTTTATATAAAAAATAACTTATTTTATTACACTTATTTCTTGAGTATTTTGGGGAATCATCGTCCCCCTCTTCAGCAATATTTTATTCTCCCAATAAATTGGAAATGACCCAAGAAATTGGACAATTCACAGTAATTTAATAAGATTGGTATAATGGCTATCATCCAACTAAAAGTTTTTAACCAAAAGTTGGATAATAGCTATTGTATCAATCTTATTAAATTACTGACACCCAATTCCTTGGGGAAATAAGATATTGCTGAAGAAGGGGAAAAAAATTCACTGAAATCCGCAATAAATAACAATCAACAAAAAATTTGATTATTATTGAACTGACCATAAGTATTAGTAGAAAAAGGTCTTTCCAGACTCGATAAATAATTGCTTTATTTCATATTTATCCGAATTTTTGTCTCTTCAGGGATAATCTGAATTTAAATTTTCATTCGCTTATAATAGTGCACCCATTTGCACACTTAGTCAAAGAAAACAATCGAATTGGTCATTCGGTTGTGTTCTTTAGCTAAGTGTGTGTGCAAGTGAGTGCATTGTTATAAGCTAATAAAAATTTAAATTACATGTAAAATCAGATTATCCTTGAAGATGCCTGAAGAGGCGAATATTTGGATAAATTTGAAATAAAACAATGAATAAATGTCAAAACTGAATAATGGAAACATTTATTTTATAATCCGAAATAGATACAGACAAACAACCTAACCGAGACCCTTGGTGATGGTGCTAAGTCTAGGCAATTTTACTAAAATTTTGTGAAATGTACAATCATGAATTTATGATTTCTTTTACATTTTTTACATTGACTGCTATCAATAAAAGGTTGCATGTACACCAAAATGGTCTCCCTTAAGTTGTTTTACTATAATTTGATCTCTAAAAAGTTGATTACTAAAATTTGTTTGGATCTCCAAATGCCTGCTGGCGTTACATTTTTTATTCAATGAACTGGAAGTTTAAAATAATAAACAGAATAAGTAGTTTTCATACAAACCTGTTCATAAAAATCCATTTCAGAGGTACTATCTTCGTAATTAAAATTGTGTACATGGATCATGTGATTTAAAACATTTTCCCATGAAGAAAAGGATTCTTCACAGAACAGGCAAACAATAGAAAGTGTGAGAGTTTCCTGCCAATCTGACCAATCACAAGGTTCATCTTCAGCACTGTCTCGCCTCTTCTTTTCTTTCTACCAACAAGAAAAAGAACGAGCATTCCAAATTAACTGATGTTGCAGAAAATAATTGCCATAATCTAACTATATGATATTAAATTATATCAGAAGACATACATTTTCAAAATTTACAGGTTGAACGATTTTTAAATAAATATATAGCAAGGGAAAGTATTTCGATCATGAAAATTTTTGAATCTAAGTTTTCAACAGAAATACATATTTTGAGTTCCCCTGAGTCCAAATAACCAAGTATTACAAAATAGTCTGTGTGTGTAAACAGTCTAATTCAAAAACGAAAAGTCATAGGAAAGTGAAATTGCACATTTTAGGCTTGTATATGCCTGGGATGTTACAGCAACTTTTTCATTAAAATCAGTTAACTGGAAGTGTCTTTTTATATTATCGATTTTAGACATTTTTATGATTTTCTCAATAACGGCTCTAACGATTTTGATTAAATTCATTATATCAGTGTAAAATTAAAAATTAAATTAAAATTATGCTGGAAACTAAGTCCCAAACATGCTATAAAATTAATTATTGAATTAACCATATTCACATAAAAATATACAATTGCTTATTTTATTTTTTTATAAAATTATCCTGAAATGTTCAATTTATACTTATATATATTTTTTCTTTGATAAGCAGTCCTCTTAAGATAGCATTTATGTTAAAGACTTGTTTTTTTCGGCTAATCATTGCCTTTAACGATTGTATATTTTGATTTAATAGCTATTGATAAAGACTGCTAAAATTATATATTTCATTGTATGTATTTTTATTTGTTTATGCTGCTTAAACATTTTATTTTAACAATTTTAGCAGTCTTTATCAATAGCTATTGAATTAAAATATACAATCGTTAAAGCCAATGATTAGACGAAAAAAATAAGTCTTTAACATGAATGCTCTTAAGAGGACTGTTTATAAAAGAAAAAAAAGATATAAGTATCAATTGAACATTTCATCATAATTTTATAAAAAAATAAAATTTTATAAAAAATAAAATAAACAATTGCATATTTTTATGTGAATATGGTTAATTCAATAATTAATTTTATAACATGTTTGGATCTTAGTTTCCAGCATAATTCTGGATTAAGTAGTACTATCATAGTATGCAATATCAAACACCAATCTGATTAAATTAGATTAAGAAACATTTTTAACATTGCAAGTCTTTAATAGCTCCAGGAATGAAGAAAGCAAAGACAACTTATCATAATATTAACATCTGGGATGCAGGATAAGCACAAAAACATGCTGAAGAATAGTCATTACAGAATAACTTCATTCAACAGGTTACCATATACTAAACTTTGAGAAGTGTTTTCTTTATAGATAAATTTTGATGAAATGTTCACAAAATTAAAAATCAATATCTTGACCGAATTTCTTTACAAGTCAGTAACTTGGCACAATGCTCATGCCTATATAATACAGTTACGGCTTTAGGCTCCTAAGGAAAAAGAGAGAACAAAAAGGAAGACAGTAACTGATGTTACGTAGTCTATAAACTTGTCCACATCAAACTACTTTTTAAAAAAGGAGCATGCAAGCTAACTATTAATTAAAATTTATTAGTTTGAAACAATTCTAACTTAAATAAATATTAATCATACTGAGGACAAAAATCATATATTTATTATCAATCAATGCTGGCCTTAGGGCAAGGCAACTCTGCTATAAGCGCTTCCCACTTATTGAGAAATAAAATTACAAGATAAGAAAATTAAAAATCTTATAAAAATAATTAATTTTAGACTGCTAACAAAGAAACTGAAATAAGGACATATTTAATTATATATAATTCAAATATCACTTAATATAAAATAGCATAAGAAAACAATTTAATTTTTTTAGATTACGTCATTCCCGAAGGCTACCAAATGTCTAAGGCCGGCACTGTTAACACTAACCTGCATCAAGCAAAATTCATACTGTTACTATATCTTACTGCATTAGTTTTCTTGTATTAGTATACTTAATCTCAATAAAAGTGCAGGCAGATGAACTGATAGGCCTCAAAAAAAGCTTAATATCAGATAAAATTACAATGTAGGTATAAAATACCTTCCAACTTTTTTCAGATCCCTTGTAGTTGACAATGTAAAACCGATCATAAACTTTATTATCGGGATTGATTCGCTTATGCATCTTTTTTCTCATATGCTCTTTGAGGACATTTCTGTCTTTGAAAGTTCGTTCACAAAAAATGCATTGCAACCTAATAAAAAATAAACATTCATAAAACAGAATAAATTTGATATAACAATAAGTGATCAAGTATGACCAACTTTTCCATTTTTTGTTCCAAAATTTCAATTAGTTCATCAACATAAACGAGGTTTTCTGGTTTCCCTAATTGTAAATTGTGCTGTGTTGAAAGGTGAATCAAATATTCAGATCTTGTGGGCTCTATAATCTGACGACAAAAGAGACAACCATGACTATAATTTGTGTCCTCTCTCTCTGATTTTTGTTGATCTAAGGCACTTTCCTTTAAAAAAAAAATATATATCAATAAAAAAAAAAAAGCCCTTATAATTAAAAAAAAAATACAATTTAGATTAATTTACTTACAAGCAATTCTGTTTGAAGTTTTTCTCGAATAAATTTATCCTTATCGTGCACATCTGATAATAAAAAGTACTCTTTGTCTTTAAGAGGTAAACCATCTTTTTTTATATCTGCAACAATAGTTGAACAGAATTCTGTAATGGGAGCTTCTGAAAATTGTTGTTTCCAAAATTCTAAATACCTAAAATGAAGGATAATTTGAAAACTCATGGTTCTGAACCATTCAGTTATTGTAAAAAATATCAAAGAATTATCCACATTACATGATTAGCTAATTTAGGACAGTCTTGATAATCTCAACACATTATTGCATGAATTGTTCAGAATATCAAAATGTTCGGATTATTTAAGGTTAAATAAAATTATGAGAAGTTTTGGATTAATATGAGTTCAGATTACCAAGACCATCCTGTAACAAATTAAGGTCCAGAACTAAAGTAAAGCAAAATAATACTATTTATGTATACATCGTGTTTGAAATGCAAATATCCTGAAAGTTGGAGAAACCAAAAACACATAACAAATTTCCTTGATTTAAAAAAGATTTTTGTAGCTTAATATTTAAAATGGCCAAGGATAGTTCAATAGGATTCATTGATTCTTTCGAAATTTTATTGAATACAGTACTAGTAATGGTGATACTTCATTTCATTGATATTTATTTTTTTAGTCAAAACAAACAGAAACATTAATTTCAATAAAATTCAAGAATATATTGTAATCGTTAAAGTATTTGGCTCAGGTCATTCATAAAAACAAGAATAGACCAAATAAAAAAAATAATAATTTTCCGTTTTGGAAGGAGAGGGAGGCCTTAGCCCTAAAACCTTCCCTGAATCCACTGTGAAGAACTCTGGAATTTAAATAAATGGAGCAAATAGTTCCAGGTGTCTTTCCAGAAATAGGGTGATACATAGAACGATAAAAGGACTAATATAAAAAATTATAATACAACCAGTGTTGACATATGGCTAGACAGGGATCATTTCCATGAAGAAACTGTTAATGGAAATGGTAGGGAAGTAATCCTGTAAGCGAGTCTTGTGTTCCTACTTGTCATCCTCTGGCAACTACCTATAAGAATTCGTCATGATCTGTATTGGAGGAATATTCACTTCTAATGCATAAGAGAAAGTTTCATTTTTGGAGGGAGGAGTCTGTATTGGTCAGAAATGCAAATGAAGATCCAAACTCGGGCTGTACAACAAACCAAAAGTAATAATCATTAGGTGTCCAAGTACTACAATGCAGGAGGCGGGGTGGCCGAGCGGACTAACGCATGTGCACAGCACCAGGTTGCCCAGCAAACTGATAACAGAAGTTATAAGATAAAATAATTATAATGGGGGTTTTAACTCTCTGGCATTAATCCCCTGCCTATACTTCTGGTCTGGGAAAACCCCGCATAGCCTAAAAGGCGAGGAAGGGGAAAACAGAAAAAAAAAGTACTACTAAGCAAATGTCACTCCTACTATTGATTCTAGTAGATCCTCCTTATCCACTTGGTCAAGATCTCTTGTTCCTTGTTTCTGGTATAAATGGGATTCTAAAAATAGCCGAGGATTGACAATGTGCTCAATAATATAACTTCTCCTTACAAAGATCACAATTTACGACTTTGGCAAATTTCCTATTGGTCCATTTCATTTAAAATCAGGGTAATGTCCTGCTACTTTTGCTTTCCTAGGTTTAATGTAAAATATGATCTTGACAAATCTGTCAAACAAACATAAAATTGTAAACTGAGACCAGTACCTGCTCATGTTAGGCCTTAGAAATGCTCTTAAATATGGTTTTAGTAAGGCGTTGATCAAATATTATTATTATGATAATTATATTATAACAATTATTTCATGTGGTATTAACAAGATAAATTTTCTCAAAGTTTGAGAGAACTCTGGTCATTTATCTTAATGGTAACAAATGAGCAAGGTCAATAGTAAGCTGAAAATGGATTAGGTACTTACTTTTTTAAATTCCCTATCTGGTGAACATCTGCTATTATTATTTTATGAGATTCAAAAATGTGACCTAAACATACATCCTTTTCAGATGGGAAGTTAAAGGTACTGGAGCATAAAAGACAACCGACTTCATATCTTTCAATTTTTCCATATTGATCGGATATTTCTTTGACAGTTGGAGAAAATTCTAGAGGGCCAAACATAATTAGATAAATTCAAAGAAATGAAATATCTGGGTAAATAAACAAATAGAAAAGTTACAATACTGTTATAACAAAGAGCTATTATATTCGAAGGACACCAAAGAGAAACTCAAATTCGAAATCAAACAATTGAGGCACTCTGTCGAAAATATATCTGACATTTTTGAAGTGAAAACTTCTGTAGACGTGCTTTGCACTTTTTTTGTGGTTAGTGAATGAGATTGACCCGTCTCGCTCGATTGTTTAACGCTCATTCGGGTAAAGTCGGATCGAGTCGACTAATTCTAGTGTTTTTGAATTTGGATTAATAATCTCAGAAACTAAAAATCGAATCTGCTTATTGTAATGAGAGAAATGTTCAGTATTTCATCCTCTTTGTAATGTACTTCTTATTTCTTTCTTTCTTATTCGGCGTTAAGACCCACTAGTTGAGTCATAGCCTGTTCAAGCTTAGTCCGCCAATCCTGCCTGTTCCGTGCTGCTGCCTTCCAGTTCATAACACCGAGCAGAGATCTCGCATCTGCAGCCACGCAGTCTTCCCAGCAAGGTCTGGGGCGTCCAACCCGCCTGGTACCATACATTCGCCCAGCTAAGATCTTATAAAGAACTTCATTTGGATCCATTATGACGTGACCAGCCCAGCAAAGTCTTGATACCTTTAAGAATGCTGATACGTCTATTTCTTTGTACCTCGCTCTTAACTCAGCATTCGTTCTTCTTCTCCATGCACCTCCCTCACATATACCACCATATATACGGCGAAGCACTTTTCTTTCAAAATGGATAAGAAGATGCTAAAGGGCTTTAGTTGTAGTCCAGCATTCTGAACCATATGTAAGAACTGGTCGTATAATTGTCATATAAATTCTCACTTTCGAGGCCTTCGACAACACACTACTTCTCAAGAGCTTATGGAGAGAGAAATAGGTGCGGTTTGCGGAGAGGATCCGTCTTTGGATTTCTTCTTCAATGCAGTTATTTCGGTTGATCTGGGATCCTAGGTATATGAATGATTCCATTCTTTCAAATCTATGGCAACCTATCAAGACATGACTCCCACCATCCTCGAGGATAGGTAGGGTGCACATATATTTCGTTTTTTCAACATTCACCATTAGGCCCAGTCTTGCTGCAGACTCCTCTAATGCATTAAAAGCTTCTCTTATGGCGTTTAGAGATCTTCCCGCAAGATCCAAGTCATCCGCAAATCCTAAAATCTGGACTGTCTTGTTGAGAAATGTTCCTGTTACTTGGATACCAGAGTCCCTAATAGCTTTCTCAAGGGAAAAGTTAAACACTAAACAGGCCAGGCCATCACCCTGCCTCACACCTGTCCTCGTTGTGAATCCTCTTGATAGCATTCCGTCCATTCTAACAAAGCATACGTTCTCCTCCATCGTCATTTTCACCAGACGAACCAGTTTGGTAGGCATGCTCATCTCCACCATTGCCTTATATGCTTCTACTCTGTTCATGGAATTGTAGGCTTGTTGGAAATCAATGAACAGGTGGTGAGTATGTATCTGGCATTCCATTATTTTCTCATAAACATAATCAGGGTAAACATTTGATCTGTCGTGGATCTTCCCTTTTCGGAATCCAGATTGATACTTTCCGAGCTCTTGTTCGGCAAATGGAAGCAGTCTATTGAAAAGTATGATGGATAGAATTTTGTATGCGGTGGGAAGGAGAGAGATGCCTCTGTAGTTATGACATACCGATACATGTACTATTCTTCAATATTTTATCTAAACGCGACGCAGAGTTAGAGTCGGAAAGGAAAAATATAACTCTGCCAAGACGCTTACGAAAATTACACACCACAGACAATTTACTAAGTTAGGAAGTTATTTAAAAATTGTTATTTGCCCCAAAAAACAAATATTAACGACTGTTTTACACATTTGAACTAAAATATCTCAAAATTTAAATACCATGGACAATTCAAAAACTAGTTTGCGGAAGCCAATATAGATATTTTGTTTAATTAGCTATACATATAAAAAATAATAAATTATGTGTTTCTGATTTTTCATGTGTCTCGATTTTCTGTTGCACTCCATAGTTTCGACAAATTACTGACCCCCGTTACAGAACTTATATTAAAACATTACTAACAACTGATTGTACAGGTTGTTGAAACAATTAAATACAATTTTTTTTGAAAGAATAATATTTGTATTATATTATAGTCGTAAGTGCTGGTTAAATGTTTATTGCAGCGAACAAACACTTTGACATTGTAGGAATTTTCATTTTGTTAGGCACCATATTTTGCTATTCAATTGAAAATATAATAATAAAGTACATGGTAGTATTAATAAAAACAGAAATTATATTAATTTTATTCAACCAATGTTATTATACAATGTATGATTAATATCTCGTAACTACATTAAAGGTTTTAATAAACAAAAATTTAAAGTTCATGAGAAATAACGCTGAATTATGTTACTACTTGTTAATGGAAGTTATGTTATAAAAATAGATTTTTAAAGCTCTTATTTCTCCATTAACGCCTACCCAAAAAGTAAAGTATCAAAGGTGAACAGGCGTTAATCTTCATGCCTAATGCAATTCAACGTTAATGGTATTACATGTGGTCCCCTAGGAGTTCTGGTCTAGCTCGTCAGTGGATATACAATCTATTATCGAAAAGTTCATTGTAAAAGCATTTTGATTGCTTTCTAAAATTGAAATTTCGTATAAATAATTCTCTGGCTAAATGAAAGAATGGTCTTGGGGCGTCAGGTATAGAGTTGAAATATTAGACTATTTAAAATAGGGAAATTTGACATGTTCATATGTTGAGTTTGATTTGAGTAGCTAAATTTCTAGTACAAGAGGACCATATTTGGAATCTCGGATATAATAATTCATCAAAACTATTGCAGGTTTAGTCAACCACCGAAGTATAGAGCAACAGTTGAATGTTTGTTAAGGATGATGGGAGAACAGTTATGCTGCATGGAGTGAGGGAAGGACATATTTGTAGGTGTTTACAAAAGGGAAAGTTGGAAATTTTCTAAGAGCGCCAATTTTCAAGAGAACTCAGAATTTGAGATGTGAGAAAAAGTAACAAAAATTGAGGAATGGGAAAAATGTGTTGGTTTTTACTATTTTATTGTTCATTTACAGTCCTTCTCTATCTTTTAGACAATGTAGATGTGGAATGTAAAGCATACTTACATAGCAACTCGTTTCTGCAAAAATAGTAATTAATAAATACAAACTGTTTTACACCGACATTGGCAATGGAATTATACCTCCTTTTAACTTCTAAATTACATTGAAGGAATCGTTATTGAATGGTAGAAATCGTCTTGTAGTAGTTCACATGTTTGTGTAGTTGTATAGTTTGAATTTTCAATGGGGAAAGCTAGACGGGCTCGTACTAAATTTCATATAAGTTCTGTGCAAGGGGGTTTTGATGTTTCATCTTCAGATTCTAAATCCCAAACTCAAAATAATGACACAGAAATCAAAGATGATCTTAAAAATGTTGAAATTAATGCCAATGAAAATGATATTGACAGGGAAGCAAATTCAGCTATGGAAACTAATGTTATTGGAGAATGGAAAGTAGTTCCTGAAGAAGACCTTTTTAAAAACATAGATATTGATATTGACAAATTGGAAACCATAGTTCAAGAGGCTGATGAGCCCAGGCCTGCCACTATATCCATTTCTAAGTGTATTAAAAGGTCTGTTGTAGAAAGTGGAACTAATTTGAAATTGAAAAAAGGTGATAAGAGAGAACTTAGAAGGAATTTATTTATAAAAAGTAAGTAATATGATGATCTGTTTTTTTATTATTACAGTTTTGATTCAAAGCTTTATCCAGAACTTAAAAATTTTAGTGTTAATACTTCTAATTAACAAAAATATTTTGTATAAGCCAATTTATATGTTGTTATACAATAAGCTTGCGTAATATGGAATTTGTTGGTTGCTTAGGATTTCAATGTTTTAATGTACTCCAGCTAGGAACGGAAGGTTGTAAGCAACCTGTTTAGTTCAGAGAGGGACAATTGTAATTCATTCTCTATCTTCCTCTACTATAACCTAGTCTTTTCGAGTCCCCTGTCAAAACTGAAATCTACAAGCCTGAATTTTAGGGCTAAGCTATGGCCAGATAACAATTACATACTGAAAAATAGTAGGCACTAATAATAACAGTATGTTGGTAAAATAATATATAGCTAGTTAAACTTAATATTTATAAATATGCGAAGTGGGAAATATATGTCATAAATTTAGGAAGTTATAAAGTGATGCTAATAAAGCTGAGACTTATAAAATAACTTAAATAGATCTGGCAAATGTTTTTACTTTTTTTGTTTTTAATTTTAGTCAAACTTTGAATATACTAGCAGCTATCTTTTAAGGTATAGTGGATAAGCAAGCCATAAAAGTTACATATGTTGTTTCTGACAGCAATAAAATAAAAAATAAATTAAATAAAAATACAATCATTAATAAAATTAAATAATTAATTTATTTGGTCATTTTAGAAATTGATGCTATTCATCAAGAGGTCATGAAAAAGAAACCAAAGAAATCCAAAGGAAAGTCATCTGAAGTCTGTGGTAAAAAGCAAATGTATGAAATTTTACCTGAAAAAACATTACCAGTTACAAGTGAATGTTCAAAAATACAAAGACCACAAAACCAATCTTCCAATGCTAAACATCTTCCCACATCTAAAGTATCTAAAAGGAAACAGAAAGCCATGGGCAAATTAAAAAACACAACACAAGAAATGTAAGTGTAATTGTATTTACAAGTGAAAAATCCTTTATTGTAAGATATATTGTAATGCTAAAATAATAATTTTTATAAATTAATTTTAGAAATATTTACATTTACTTAAATTTATAAAATTAAATTATTAACATTTAAAAAATAAATTAGTTTTATTTTGGTTAAATAAAACTCTTATTACAAAATTATAATACGAGGGAGAACAAAAAAAAAAAAAAAAAAAAATGGACTTTCATCATAACCTCTTCATTTCTTAGTAATTTTACACCAAATTTTGATTGCAAATGAGCATTATCTTGACATTTGACTTCACTTGGCAAGCTTTTTTGGGACGAGGAGAGCCAGTCTTCCACTGGCTTGATTGCTGCTTTGTTTCGGCATCGTATCCATAACTGGGCGATTTATAACCTTGGCGAGTAATCACCTTGGAAAAAAATTCAGGGTTCTCTTTGAGCAGATTTTGAAGCTGAATAGATGCCTAAAGTTGTTGGTCCTTTTGCTTGCCTGTGAGAAGGTGAGGGACAAATTCGGCTGCAACTCTTCTCATGTGCAAATCTTCAGATAAAATCCTCTGGGTTGAACTCCATGATATTCCTGATATCTCACAGAGTTAATCAATGGTTCGGCAATAGCCTTCACGAATGAGAGCATTGATTTTGCGAATGTTTTCGTCACTTCTTAACGTTGAAAGGCGTTCTGCATGGGGTTGGTCTTCAATTGACATTTCTCCATTTTTATAATGTGAAAACCACTCACAGACTTTGGTTTTATCTAGGGCAGCATCCCCATAAGCAGTTTTAAGCATTACAATAGTTTCCACGGCTGATTTCTCCAACTGGAAACGAAGTTTCACATCTGGGTGTTGCTCTCGACAATCGGCTATCACGTTTTCGGGGAAATTGAAAAAGTTGTTTCACTATAAAAATTCTCATGGGCGAACCGATACACTCACAGCGATACAACTTCACACACTAAGTCAGGAGATGTGTTCCTATCGTCCACCGGTTCAAACCATGGGTCAATTCCCCTTACTTTTGGGTTTCCCCTCGTATACTTCATCTAATGTTCTCATAAAATTTTATAAAGTGGTTTTATTTATTTGTTATTGTTTTAGCACATACAAAAAAAAAAAAAAAGTTTTAGTTCTAATAGTCCAGTAAAATTAGGGATGACGCCAACACTCAAAAAATATAGATGAAACTTACCAGAAATTGTTTATTACCCTCTCTATAATAATTAGCAAAAAGTCCCAAAGAATCCCGCTTTAGGTTTTGATGGGGAGATGGAAACAAATACAGAAAAATGATATTTTTTTAAGAATATCTAAAAAACTAAGAAGTTTTTCACAAGGATTGTTCAGTATACTATTAAAGTACTTTAAAATCTCTGTAAAAATGATCCTATACATTTTTTTTATAAAATCAATGGTTATGGAGATATATATCAGATTATATTTCTGTTTAAAGCAATTTTTACTTTAATCCACATAATTGATGTTGTTCAAGTTTAGATTGACATTAATTTAATATAATTAATACTGATAAAAAATTATCTTAAACCATGGTCTAATTACATACAGAGAACCAGAAAACCTAAATTTTGTAATTTTTAAGCTAACCATGTTTTATGTTGAATAAAAAGCAATAACTACAAAAAAGTTTAATTTAGGTTACAACCAATTACTTCATAGTAAACTAGATTAAATTTCAAATAAATAAAAGTAAATCTTGTTTATTTTAAAACCGTTTAAAGGGGTCTTTTAAGCAGTTAAACTGCGGCAAGTTCGGTTTTTCATAAAATCAAGGATTCTTTGCAATTTTTTTTTATAAGCTCTCAACTGGACTTAAGACACCACACTTTCAGAAAAACTTCCTTGTTTGATGATCTTTAAGTCTATATTAATTTAATTGAGTTTACATATTCTCTAATTGAGTAAAAATATTAGTACGGTAAAATTAGGGATCAATTTCAATATTTTTACATCTTTTAACTCAAATAGGGATGAATCTCAATTTACTCTGTAACAAACCACAACTTAATTAATATAGACTTAAAGCTGATGAAACCAGGAAGTTTTTCTAAAATTGTGGGGTCTTCCGTCCAGTTGAGAGTTTATAAAAAAAAAAAAAATAGCGATGAATCCTTGATTTTATGAAAAACCGAACTTACTGTAGTTTAACTGCTTAAAAGTCCTCTTTAAATGGTTTTAAAATAAACAAGATTTACTTGTATTTAATGTAGATTTAATCCAGTTTATTATGATGTAATTGGTTGTAACCTAAATTAAACTTAGGTTATAAACTGAAGGTTTTGAGTTATTTTTATTCAACAGAAAATGTGGTAGGCTTATAAATTACAAAATGTAAGTTTTATAGTTCTCTGTATGTAATCAGATCATGGTTTCTGATAAATTTGTATAAGTTAAATGTCTTCTATCACATATTATCAATTATATGAAATTAATGTCAATCTAACTTCATATCATTATCACGACCATACCCATTGATTGATATCGAATATAATTCTGTTGTCAATGACTTTTTAGAATCATTAAAAGAAAGATACTGTGAATAATAATTTGAAAGATCGAAAATGTTAAAAAAATTGTTAAACTTCAAAAAGGTATCATCTAGTATGACATCAATTTTGGGGTTTGAAGCAATTTTTGCTTAATGTGAAAATAAAATAAATATAATCTCATGAATGTCTCCGTAACCATTAATTTTATCAAGAATATGTATAGGGTCATTTTTATAGATATTTTAAAGTACTTTAATATTATACTGAACAATCTTTGCGAAAAAAACTTTCACAGTTCTTGAGATATTCTTAAAAAACTACAAAGATATTACTTTTCTCTCTTCCTCACCTCACCCCATCAAAACCTGATGCGGGATTCTTTGGGGCTTTTAATCAATTATTATGTGGAGTGTAATAAACAATTTCTGACTAGTTTCATCTTTATTTTTTTAATGTTGGGGTAAGGGTGTTTTTTACCCTAACTTTACTGTACTATAAGTTTTAATAAATGTGTATGGTTGTGGTTAAAAAATTTAATTTATTTTTCCTATTATTTTATTTATTTATGTTATATTTAGCATAAATGTAAATCAGAAAATACCTTAATTGTAGTCTTCCCATTATGGAATGATACTTAGAGGAATAACGAGGTCCTCGGAACACAGCATGCTGCAGAAATGCCAAACAATGACTAATGGATTAATAATTTTATTTTCTCTGCAGGCGTTGATAACCTAGGAGTTTTACATCTTTGAACAGCAAACAAACAATATTTTATCTTTCTAAATTATAATGCATATACTTCAGCTACAAAATTCGTAAGCAAATAAAAATTTACACATTTTATTCATTTAAATTTTTATTGTTTTACCCCCTAAAAATAAGCCCTTAATCCCTACTGATTTTTATTATTAGGTACTAAATTTTTTTTTATTTCATATTCAAATTGGTAATAAATAAAATAAAACTTTAACCAAAAGTGACCAAAATCCTTCATATTAGAGGATGAAAATACATAACTAATTTAAATTAACATAAAAATCTCTAATCTTTGAATATGAAGTTTTTTTTATATCAGGAATTTGAAAATTTCATTTTCATTAAAATTTTATGTAATATTAAAAAAAAATGATGTAGTATTAATAAAATATATTTATAAAAAAAAATTAAACTTGAAATAATGAAAATTTCAGTACTGCGATGTTGTTTTTGCTATGTTGATTAAAAGGAATTCTGAGGAATCCCTTAATCCTCTTCAGTATTGTCTCAAAGGGAAAATTCCACAATTTTCCACAGGTCACATTCATATTTTCAATAAAGAAGTTTAATTAAATTGATAAACAAATGTTATTCTAGTAAATTTTAATATAAACAATTTTTAAATACAATGTTTTATACAAATTAAAATTATAAAACTTTTTTTTTAATGAACCTGGATTATTGATATGTAGTCTGTCTTTAATATCTGGAAATAATGATTATATATTTAATATGATTTTGTTCTATATTTAAAAAAAAAAAAAAATTGTTTTTCATGCATGAAATCTTATTTTACTTTAATACTATTATTAATTTTTTCACATCATTGTTTTCTCTCCTATATTATAAAACTAGCTGATGTACCCGTCGTTGACGGCTGTTTACTGTTTAAATTTGAGAATCTTTTTTTGAGATGGATTTTGTATTATGGGTGGGGAGGGTCCAAATTCAATTACATAAAATTGGGTCGGGGCTTGTGGAAGTCAAGGTTTCGCATTAGTCATATCAAAAACTTTGTTATTCGGCTATTTTTTTATGTATCACACAACTAAACTGACCACCACCGATCCATTAAAATTTGTTAAGTGTTTAATTTTCAGTTATGATGAAGTGAGGAGGTTGTGGAGTCGATTAATTAATCAGAAAAAAGAGTTGTAGTCTCTCCACTTCTTTAAATTCTGCTGAGTTTAGCGCTGGCAAAATAATGTTGAACATTGAGTCACCTGCATCCGTGTAAAATTAAAATTTGATCTGAATATTGTGGCGGGCAGGGTGAAATTTTTGGGAGTTTTTTTTTGATTCCCGACTAATCCGTTAATCCTAAAAATGTATCTGACAACATTTGTTAGGCTCGGAAAGTTGAATCGAATGACACCTTGAATGGAAGATCAGACAAAGTTGAAAAATGAGTGTGTTTTACTACGTGTTACAGATGTTCGTTATTCCAGATTTTTCCCGTTGAGTTATGATAATTTTTTCCCTCAGTTGAGTAGTACAACTTTCAAATGTGGCTCGCGATAGAGTAGGTTGTGATGAGAATCGAAGTAAGTAACTGCCTAACCGGGATCTCTTGAAAAATTACTCAAGAATTCATAACTTTGGTTATACTCAATATTTTGTTTTCATTTAAAGCATATGTTTTAAGTCAAGCAAACCTTAATATAATGTCAAAATTTCAAAAGTCTGCAATAAGCCATTGCTGAGCTTACCCCTGACAAATTTTGTTGCAATGTGGACGTACAGACAGACAAACAATTTTTTAAAAGTGAATTTGGTATCTGCAATGTATGAAACGGAAAGATATCATAAACGGGTTGATTCTATTGTTTGGACAAAATCTTTATTTTATTTATATAGATAATGTTCTATTTGATTTATTAATCATCGAGATTGTATTTATTGAATATTTTAAATGTTTGCTAGATGTTTATTTCATGTTCACTAGATTTTCCTCAGCTTCTAGTTTACAAAATATAATTTATTATTTCAGTAATATCAGTTTTGTTTGTTTCAGGTTAAAAAATATTGAGCTCTACAACCAAATAATATCTGATGCGCAGTATCAAACTGATGCAATGGGTATTGTTACCAATGCTGTTCAAAAGAAAGTTTATGCTGATCTATAAGGCTTTTCCTATTTTTATGAAAGATTATAATAAAGTTAGATTAAGGTTAAAACTTTGTTGTAAATATTGTTAAATAGTTGTAAAATATTGTATATGAACAGTTGCTTATTTTCACATTTGTCTAATAACATTAACAATTGAGATATACTGTTGATATATGGCCAACTTAATGACTTAGAAAAGGAATGATAATTCCTCTTCAACTTTTATCAAAGACCTAATGGAATTTATAGTTTTACTCTATTTCCTACGTTAATTTAATGCTGTATGATATATTATTGTAATTATGTATACATACTAATGTGTTATTGTTGTTATACTGTTTTTAAAATAAAACTCATAGTTAGTCTATTCTGAAAAAGAATGATATCTTTGAGAAAAAATAATTATTTTATATTTTATACTTGAAATAATTGTCTTATTTTCTGACATTTGGCTATACTTTTAAAATTAATTTTTTGAAATTTCAACAAATCTAAGATATTTAAGTGTGAAATAATTATAATTCTCACATCTTCATAAAAATATAAATACAGTTATAATTACAGTTACTGATAGAAGCCTGAAGCCGGGAATGTATATTAAAGCCATATTAGATAAGTAAATACAATATATGAGTAATATTTACTTATAGCAATTTTTTTATATTTTCTCCCCTAAAACTGATAACTTTACTTATATCAAATATTAAAATAGTATACTATCTTTAATTGGATGTGAAACGTGGCAGCTTACTTTAAAGAATGAGCAACGTCTTAAAGTTTTTGAAAATAAAATATTGCGTAGAATATTTTATTCTATTATTTTATACGTCAGACCAAAGAAGAACAAGTCAACCTTAGAATTTTCACAGGTACACAACGCCAAACCTCGTGAACCGAATCTGGTAAATATAACTGAGATGTTGCATTGTAGTGAATAAAATGAGTGTTGTAACATTGTTGGGCTTAGTAATGAAAGAATCCCTAAAATGTTACTATGCACTGTGCCGACTGGAAGGTGCCCGACGTGTAAACCTAAGTCCAAAGTGTGAGGATTGCATTAAGGTTGAATTGCCGAGGTTGGGTTTTGACAGCGCTGAATGGTTTGTAAATAGTAGACATCAATTGGTAGTATCAACGTTGAGTCTTTGGGTTCGGTAAGCCTTTTATTTTTGTTATACTGTCTTTAAAATAAAACTCATGGTTAGTCTATTCTGAAAAAGAATGATATTTTTGAGAAAAAATAATTATTTTATATTTTATACTTGAAATAATTGTCTTATTTTCTGACATTTGGCTATACTTTTAAAATTAATTTTTTGAAATTTCGACAAATCTAAGTATGAAATAATTATAATTCTCACATCTTCATAAAAATATAAATACTGTGAAATGTTTATTACTATTTTCCAATATTAATTAATTTTCTACACTTTTTTCTAATACATTCTATATAATGCATGTGCATATTCCAGTCCTCTTTACCCGAAATGTCTACATATAGAAATGCTTAGTATTTTCTTTTCTTCTTTTTGATAACATATTGTACCCCATTTGGGTTTGTTCAGACTCCACACTCTTTCAAGTATGTATTTATCTTTTTTTTTTATTTCTTGACTTTATCTATCATCTTGCTTTATTTATTGCTATTCTGTTGATATCTTCTATGTTATTTATATTACATTTCACTAATTAAGATAAAAGACACGGTATGGGTTTGTAGTTCTGATGACCTGAATTGGCAAAATGTTGTAAGTTATTTACTACTATTTCTACTACTACTACTATTATTACTAAATGGTAAATTAAAGGTTTTGTCGATTACAACTTGATACAAACGTTTGATCATAAGTTCTTCCAGACTGCTTTACCTATCATTTTATTTTCTTCTGTTACAGTCTCTTCTAGAAGAACATTATATTAACTATGTTTGAACAAGCTGAACGACTGCTTTTAAATTATTTGTAGTAACATTTCCAATTTGTTTATACTAACATAATTCTGTACTTTCTTTTGACATGTCATCTCATTTCCATATTCATTTAGCTGTGTTCTTCAATGTTTTAATTTTTAATCCTAAAAGGTATGTTTGGGAATAAGGCAGTGGATCAGCTGATGAGAAGGTTGTCTCCTCAACTCCTCTCTCAGTTTTTACCAATTTTATAGCGGAATCTCTCTGATTATTCACGTGATACAGTTAAAGTGTATATCAGAGCAGTTGATATTTACTGTTGGCATCTTTTTTTTTGTTATTTTAAGGAAAAAAAAAAAAAAAAAAAAATTTTTTTTTTTTTTTTTATTTATTTATTTATTTTTCTCTTATGATATGCGGTATGATCAGCAAGTGATGGCCAGTAAGGTGCCCAAGAGGTCTCGGTCAGACGGAGTTAGCTCACCAGCCAAACAAAGGACTCGTCGCTGCCTACGAGAAATACCTCCAGTGACCAAAATGAACACTTCAGAACCAGAACCTCAGCCCCAACCAGGTACGTCTGCACAAGAAACGATTGAAGAATCACCTTTCTTTACTCCAAACCCCTACCAAGTGCTTCAAAATGACAAAGAAGTAATGGAGTCTGCAGCAATACCCAGAGAACCAAAGCCTCCTCCGATATTTGTGAAAAATATAAAAAATTTCCAGATGTTCTGCACCCAACTAAATAAAATCTGCTCTGGCAGTTATTCATGCCTTAACAGGACCAATGACACCAAGATAACACCTGATTCTGCAGAAGCCTACCGAAAAATAGTGAAGTACTTATCAGAAACAAATGCGAATTTTCACACTTACCAGCTGAGGCAGGAAAGAGCTTTACGAGTGGTGATAAGAAATTTACATTCCTCAACCCCCACTGAAGTTATTAAAGAAGAACTAACGACGCTTGGTTTCAATGTACGCCAGGTAACAAACGTTTTGAAGGAGGACAGGGAACAGCCAGGATTACGAAATAGGATCCCACTACCATTGTTTTTCGTGGACTTGGAGCCATCACCAGGTATCGAAAAAATATATGATATCACAAGAATATACTATACAATGGTGAAAGTTGAGAAGCCATATCCCAAGAGAGACATCGTGCAGTGCCATAATTGTCAGACCTATGGCCACACGAAGACATATTGCCACCATCTGCCGCGTTGCGTGAAGTGCGGTGAACAGCACAAATCTGTAGAGTGCACCAAACCTATACAAGATCCAGCAGTATGTGCCCTATGCTTGGAGGGACACCCGGCCAACTACAAAGGCTGCCAAATTTACAAGAATCTCAAAACCAGACACCAGAAAAACCGGATTCAAGATGAAGCACTAAGAACAAGAAGAGAGAGAGAGCCTTCCAGAATTGTAAACAATGATGTATCATTCTCCCAACTACTGAGAGGTAAGACTTTAACCGATAAATGTCAAGCCCTGCCACAACAACAACCTCAAACCCAACCTCAAAATCCTCTTCATCCTAATATACCTAACCACCAACAACAAATTCCTCATATTCCTCCTCCTTCAAATGCAACAGATCTCACAAGTTTGTTAGCATCTTTCCTCACCGATTTCAAATCCCTTGTTACTCCACTCATATCACTCCTCACGAATCTCGTATCTCACCTCATCCCTCCTTTGAAAAATCCTTAAATGACTCACATCCCTAAACCCATATCCATTCTCCTTTGGAATGCGAATGGTGTTAGAAATCATACAGACGAACTATCTACTTTACTACTTGACAAGAACATTGATGTGGCACTAATTACTGAAACTCGACTAACCACTAAACAGCACTTCAATATACCACAATACCTGACATATCGTACTGACCACCCTGACGGAAAAGCACATGCCGGTACTGCTGTAATTGTACACCAATCCCTCTCCCATCACCTACTCCCATTACCAATACATGATTTCCTACAGTCCACCGCTATCGTGATAAAAACCTTCTCCTTTCCGGTCACTCTTGCATCAGCGTATTGCCCTCCTAACCGATCCATATCCAATGCCCAATTCAGTTCTCTCCTCGACTCCTTAGGACATCACTTCATCTTGGGTGCAGACCTAAATGCCAAGCACCAACAATGGGGTTCCAGAACCACGAATTCTCGTGGCCGAACCCTGCTGTCTGCACTCAATTCCCAACGTTTTCACCTCCTTTCCCCCAACTCTCCTACCTACTGGCCCACAGATCCCAACCGTAATCCTGATCTTCTAGATTTCTTTATCCACAGCGGCTTAAGTCCCCTCAATTGTTCCATTACACGTCTAAATGAACTTTCCTCTGACCATAGTCCTCTAATCCTTAATGTTTCACTTGAACCTGTTCCCAAACCTTCTCCACCGTCATTCATTAGGGGCCCAGTAAACTGGGACCTTTTCCGCCAAATAATCTCCGATAATATTGATCTCAACATATCCCTCAAAACTCCCGATGACCTTGATAGTGCCGTAAATTCCTTTACTACCACAATCCAACAAGCCGCCTGGACTGCCTCCTTTCCAAAAGACTCCTCCAGAATTCCTATAAAGACCATTCTACCCCAACACCTCCTTAACCTAATCCGCACCAAACGCCGTGCCAGATTATTATGGCAACGATCCCGACATCCTACCGACCGCTGCTCCTATAATTACTACTGCAAACAATTAAAACTGGAATTAGCCACCTTCAGATCACAATCCTTCAACTCCTACCTATCCTCCCTCTCTTCTCGCGACAATTCCCTTTGGAAAACCACAACAAAAATCCTAAATCCTCACCGCATTTCCCATCCTCTCCGACGAGGTGATGGCTCCTGGGCAGCATCTGACGAAGATAAAGCTGAGGAGTTCGCCATTCACCTATCCAATACATTTATTTCACATCCGGAATCCCATCCTGCCCACACCGTAACAGTAGAAGAACTCCTTACATCACCAATCCCACTTTCCTTGCCCCCAAAAGCTATTCATCCTTCCGAAGTAAAATTTCAATTAAAAAAACTAATCCTCCGTAAAGCTCCTGGACATGATCTCCTTACACCTCAAATCCTTCGACAACTTCCATCCAAAGCAGTCATATTCCTTACATATATCTACAATTGTATCCTACGCACCACCCACTTCCCTCTGTTATGGAAACACTCCACTATTATCCTTTTCCCAAAACCAGGAAAACCTCTCAATAGCTCAACATCCTATAGACCAATCAGCCTACTCCCAATCCTTTCAAAAATTTTTGAAAAGATCCTTTTGAAACGAATCCTACCCATTATAGAATCCCAAAATATCCCTTCCCATCAGTTTGGTTTTCGCTCTCAACATTCTACTGTTCAACAAGGACTCCGAGTCGTTGATCATATTT